AGAGCAAGACTCCATCTCAAAAAAAAAAAAAAAAAAAAACAAGAGGAGCCCAGGCCGGGCGAGGTGGATCATGCTTATAATCCCAGCACTTTGGGAGGCCAAGGCCGGAAGATCACCTGAGGTCAAGAGTTCGAGACCAAGACCAGCCTGGCCAACATGGCGAAACCCCATCTCTACTAAAAATACAAAAATTAGCCAGGTTTGGTGGTGGGTGCCTGTAATCCCAGCTACTTGAGAGGCTGAGTCAGAAGAATCACTTGAACCTGGGAGGCGGAGATTGCAGTGAGCAGAGATCACGCCGTTGCACTCCAGCTTGGCGACAAGAGGGAGACTCTGTCTCAACAAAAAATAAGGCTGGGCACGGTGGCTCACACCTGTAATCCCAGCACTTTGGGAGGCTGAGACGGGCGGATCACGAGGTCAGATCGAGACCATCCTGGCTAACATGGTGAAACCCCATCTCTACTAAAAATACAAAAATTAGCCAGGTACGGTGGCGGGCGCCTGTAGTCCCAGCTACACGGGAGGCTGAGGAAGGAGAATGGTGTGAACCTGGGAGGCGGAGCTTGCAGTGAGTGGAGATTGTGCCACTGCACTTCAGCCTGGGCGACACAGCGAGACTCCGTCTCAAAAAAAGTAAAAATAAATAAATAAATATATAAAAGGAGCCCAAATGTTCACCAAGGGAGACTGCTCAAATAAATAAATATTGGGGGGTGGGGGCAGAGAAACAATCACCAAAAAAGTACCAATATGATCATCTTCAAAATCTACCCGTACCACTAAGTGAAAAAAAAGTGCGTAGCTGCTTATTTGTTACTAGCATGTGCATTAAATAAATCTGTGAAGACACAGGAAACTGGTGCACTGTCTTCTGGGGGAAACTGAGTGATGAGGGGACAGGCAAGGAGAAAGACTTTTTCCCTGTGCAAGCTCTTACACCTCTTAGATTTTCAATCAAGAGAATGTGTTACCTATTCAAAAAATAATAACCTTTTTTTTTAAAAAAAGAGGGTGACAGAGTCTCCTTGTTCAACCCTCTTAAATTCAATGAAACAGACCCCTACTGAGCACCCAGGGTGTGCCAAGCCGTTGGTGGGTGCTGTGGGTTATACCATGATGAACAGGATGCTGTCTCTCCCCAACAGGGGCCCACTCACCCCAGGCAACCCAGGCCCCCCAGGCTGGAGGGTGGGACCGGCTGCCACAGGACTTACACAGCTTCTCCCCTGTTACGCATTTGCCCAGATCCCAGCCACCCTGGACTGGGAGCCTCAACTCGTACAGGGTGAGGGTCCATCTAGGGCCAGCCTCTGTGGGTCCTGATGACCACTGAGCCGTTAGAGCCAAACTCTTCAGGCCCACACTGCTCCTTCCCAGCAGAGTCTCAGGACCACCATGGGGGAGGTGGGAAGCTTGAGTACCTCCCTCCTGTACTTCCATGGAAAGAGTATTACACAACTGTGTCCTTTCTTCTCTTGCTTTTAGCACTCACTGCTTGTAACCAAGGCAGCAATTACTGTGAGGGTCAAAGAAATGGTAAGCCCCCCAGATGGATTTCAGTCTGGGTGGGAAGTGTGGGCAGGTCCCGACTTTGCAAATGCAGCTGAAACTCACCATCTTGGAGAGTCCCCTCCCTCTGCTGCCTGGCCCTCCCTGCATTCTGTCTTCTAACCCTGCTGCCCCTAGCCCTCTCCCAGGACCAGACGGCAGCAGCAGCAGCAATGTGCGTATCTGGACTTCTCACCATATGCCCCAGCATTCACATCATGTGCCTGCGACTGTCCTCTGGCCACACCAGCAAGAGATAAATACCTCCCCTGGGTTGAAGACGCACCACTGGTGTTCCCGAGACTCTAGGAGAGTAGAGGAGGCTCTTCCTGGAGGATTCACATGGTCCCAGGGTGTATGACGCCAGTGAATCACAAACTACTCCCCTACCATTGCTTTCGGTGATCCCCGTGTTATCTTGGGTGTACCCTGGGAGGGAGATGCGGCAGGGTTGCTAACTTCCAAGTACAGATGAGAAAACCAAGACTCAGGTGCTGAGACCTGCTCACCAGGTAGCTAGAGAACAGCAGAGTTGACATCTTAATCCAGGTTTCCTAACCCCAAACCTTATACTCTCTCTTCATGCTATTGTTGGAAGAGCACTGAGAGGTCATTTGGTACAACCTCGTGTTTTATAAATGGTAAACTGAGGTCAGAGAAGGAGAGGGACATCTTCAAGGTCACACAGCATGCAGCTGGACAAGAACCTGGCCCCCTGGCTCCCAGGATGGTGACTCTGTTGAACTAGAAAGTGCTTGTCCTGCCTACGGTGTTCAAATCCATTTTTTAAAAAAACCAGTGCTTCAAAATATACCAGTAGCATTCGTGGGAGTGGGGAACACAGAAAAAAAAAAGATTGGCCATAAGTTGGTAATTGTTGAAGCTAGGTATAAGGTAATGGGGATATTAATACTACCCTGTGTAAATATGTGTACGTTTTAAAATTTCCACAAAACTTTTAAAACATTAATGTGCTGTCAAAAAAAAATTAGGTACTCAAGCTATATTAAGTCCACAAGCCACTGATTAGCGAACTCTATTCTGGACACTCGTGAATATCCTGCTGGCCATATCTATACTTCCTTCCAATTCTCTCTGCATAGCGTGGGATGCGGGAGATGGGAGAGGGGGGAAGGGAGATAACTGGCTTGGTCAGGGCTTGGAAGTTGGCCATCCATTCCCAAGGGCATAGACTCTTGGGATTTGGATGGATCTCATACAGATGGATACAGGTGACACCCCTGCCCCTGCCCATAGTCCACACTCCTTGTAGTCTATCTATCCCCACTGGCCCTCTACCCGTCCTCCCTGCACCTCACTGTACTTTGCTCACCTCATTTTTTGAGACAGGATCTCGCTCTGTGACCCAGGCTGGAGGGCAGTGGCGTAATCAGCTCATTGCAGCCTTGGTCTCCCGGCCTCCAGTAATCCTCTCACTTCAGTCTCCTAAGTAGCTGGGACTTCAGGTGCACACTACCACACCCAGCTAATTTTTAAATTATTTGTACAAATGGGGTCTCCTATGTGGCCCAGGCTGGTCTTGAACTCCTGGGCTCAACTGACCTCCTGCCTTGGCCTCGCATCGTGCTGGGATTACAGACATGAGTCTCCGTGCCCGGCCAGTCTTTTTGTGCACTCTATCATCTACCACCCACCACACCAAGGGAAACAAGCAAATCTGAGGTCTGATGTTCCCAGCCTGCAGAAGACGCCATATCCCATCTGCATGAGAACTGAAGCGCATGAGCAGCCTGGCAGAGCCACGGTTAATGTGAACCTGGAGAGGAGCCGTGCTGCCTTCCAGCAAGACCTCACCAGCAGGGTGTGAAGCCATGAGATCTGGGGTGGAATGGGGGTTGGAGAAAGGTCTCGGTTTTATTTTTCCTTCTTTTCTTAGGCTGATTACCATTCACCACAATCCCTTTCCTAAACCCTACTATCTTCCCAGTTCATAGAGTGCTCTCACATTTACAATATTTAATCTTCCCAACCCTGTGAGGTCAATATTATCCACATTTTATAAATGACGAAACTGAGGGTCCTCATGATCAAGTGATTCACCTAAGATCACAGAGCTTGTGAGTGGCTGAGCCCAGGGCTGCAGACCCTAATTTTAATGTTTTGTCCTCTACCCCATATTGGGGAGGGCAGGCAGGCAGTCCCCTGTCACTGGGCTCTGCAGCTCCCCATGGAACCAATAATAGAGTAGAAAATTGCATTGCATTTTCTAAGTAGTCAGCTGGGATGGCAGGATTTTTTTTTTTTTTTTTTGAGACAGAGTCGCACTCTTGTTGCCCAGGCTGGAGTGCAGCAGGACGATCTTGGCTCACTGCAAGCTCTGCCTCCCGGGTTCAGGCAATTCTCCTGCCTCAGCCTCCCTAGCAGCTGGGATTACAGGCACCTGCCACCACACCTGGCTAATTTTTTGTATTTTTAGTAGAGACAGGGTTTCACCATGTTGGCCAGGTTGGTCTCCCACTCCTGACCTCAGGTGATCTACCTGCCTCTGCCTCCCAAAGTGCTGGAATTACAGGCATGAGTTACCGTGCCCAGCCATAGCAAGACATTTTGATGGGCATCTACTGAACTGCAAGTGTGTTGTGCTTTCTTAACTGAGGGGCATTGTTAGAGGATTGTTAGAGGTAATGGTGTTACTTGAATGGGTCTTCTGGGGTGTTGATGTGCACAGGGGAAATTTCGATTTCCCATCACTTTGTGTGATGACCACACAGCCCCTAAATCTCACCTAAGTGTGATATAGAGAAGCCGAAAGAAGCCACTGCGTTGTCCACATGAGCTAGGAACAGTGACTTTAGGTCTTACATTAAATCTTAATTCTGCCTTAACTTTGCTGTGCAACTCAGGCCAGACTTCTCCCTCTCTGGTTCTCAGAACAGCTCTGGCAGCCAAACCGAAGTTACCTCCTAAGCCAGCTTGAGACTCCACTCCCTTTGCCACCTCCTGGAGAAGATAACTTAGGGAAAGACTGTCACTGCTCAGAGGAAGCATCCCAAACCCTTCACTGGTTTAGGAATTTAACACCATGGAGCAACGGCCCCAAAAGGCAAGGCAATTGTCAGGAGGAATTAAACAGGCTAGTGCAGGACCCAGCCATCCGGTCCTGGCTTACACAGAGGTTGCTTTTCATGCCTTTTCCCTCTGTTAATTTGGCTTGTTTTCCAAACATGGGTCAAACAACCCCTCTTCAGAAGTGGCAGCAGCAGAAGGAAATGTTATTAAAAATGAGTCTGTTAGTGGGAATGGTGTGTGGATGAAGTCTTTGGGAGTTTTGGCTGCCAAATAAAGACTTTATTGTCATTCCTCCTTTCCCAAGCTCCCTCCCTCTCTCCTCTCCTCTCCTCCCTTCCTCCTCCCTCCTCTCCTCCCCTCCCTCCCTAAGATCTGCCCCTCCCTCCCCCTAAGCTAACCTCCCCACCCCAATAGGATCTGGTGGAAGAAAAGTGAGGCAAACACAAGCACGCACACACCACTGGGAGATCAGATCTTCTAGCTGGCTCTCTGCTGCCACAGCTCCGCCGAAGGGAGGGGGTGGAAGAGGAGGACTAAACTCAGAGCTGAGAGGAGAGGCAGGTGTGTGCAGGTAAGCCCAGTCGGGAGATGGGCAGGAGACTCGGAAGAATCTTTCATCCAGTAAGTTTCCTCCTGATCTGTCCATTTACTGATCTAGTCTCTATCCTCTTACTCCTTCCTTCCTCCCACCTCTTTTTCCTCTCAAATGAGTTCAAATTTAGTCTTCCTAATTTCTTTCCTAAGCCTCTTCCTCTTCTTTTCATCATTCTATACCCCTATATTTGCTTGCTGCAAAAGTTAAGCTTTCCTGCTACAGAAGTTTGCTGTAGCACAGTGAGCCACGCTGCACAAAGTGTCTCTACAGATCAGGTGTTTCCATAGAAACTGGACTCCAGAACCCATTTCTTTGCACCTTTTGCGTATTGTCACACATTGTGGAAGTCACACGCATCACACGGAGGCTGCACTTTCACTACCACCACCCCACATGGCCATACAAAATGAAGACATCCTGTCCGTTCACCTCTGCCCTCTACATCTGACATGCAGAGCTAGACCACATCGCCGCCAGACACCAGCGGACACACACACACAGGCGCACATGTTCCCCACATCTTGTCTCTCGCCCTTTCACACACCTCCCCAGCTGTAAGAACAACGGCAAAGTACGTCTTCCCGTTGAGATGGCAGAGCCAGAAGAAAATCTTGCATCCCAAGTCCAGGCTGAATAGGGAGGAGATAAACAAGAGTGGGAGCTGGAAGGGTTTCTTCATTATTTAGGGCTTGACTGGGGAGGAGGGAGAGAAAAGTGGCTTTTTCCAACCTGCACAGGGTCTTCTCAGCAGCTTTGAATTTCTGTCTCACTGGTCCAAACCACTTGGCTTTTGGAAAGAAAGAAAAGCAACCCAGTTCTCAATCCTTGCAGGTCCTAATTCCCAGCTCTGCGGACAGCTCATTTTTTATTTTTTAGTTTTCCTGCAGGCAGCCAGAAAAATATTTTTCTTTAAAGCCGTTCTGAAATTATTCCAACCATTCAGGTTGGCAAAAGGTCCTGTGGCAGAGGAGAAAAAAGAAAAAAAAGGCGGCAGTTCCTTAAGCAGTTGGGGAGGGGAAAACTGAAGGGTGGCCCCTCTCCTGCTCCCCTGCCCACTCCTCTCCATTAATAGAGAGGGGCTGTCCCAAGGCAGGCAGGGTAGAGGGAGATCAGGGTCCCACACACAGCTGATCTTCACAATCACCTGAGGGCAGGAGAGGGAGGAGTGTGGAGGGCTTACTAAAAATACAGATGTCCGCTCTCACTACAGATCTACTGAATCAAGACTCAGGAGTCGTGTTTTAATACTTCAGGAGATTCTGATGGTCCACCAGGGTTTGAGAATCAGGGGCCTGAGAGAGAGCTTTGCTGTCATTTTTAAGCTCAAGACTCTGGCAGTGTTAGCTGGGCAGAAGGACTGTGTCCTGGAAAAGGAGCTCCAGAGTGTCCCAAATAGGCCATCCCTTTTTTTGGGGAGTGGGAGTAAACAGGGTAGGGCTGTCTTACTCTCTCCTCCTTGCAAGCACAAGCAGCCATATATACCACAGAGGAACATTCCGGTCAGAAAGTTCCCCCAAGATGGCTCCACAGAGCTTCTGTTTCCCCTCACCTGCTCATCTGCCTGCCCCAGGACCCCAGGAGCACGTGCTGGTCTCTTCCCCTGACCCTTCTAGGCCCTGCTCCTCCTGCCCAGCAGCCGCCTGTCTGGGCTCTCACAGAGGGTGGGCCGAACACTTTCTTCATTTCCCTCCACCTCCCTAGGGTGCAACCCCATTTATCAGGCATGTGAGTGAAGCATTTCAAGGCTGGAAGGGGCAAAAAGCTGGGTGCAAAAGGCTGGGAGAAGTCACGAATCACCGTGGAACTCCACGGCCTGCTGAGGAAGGCAGACTTGCACCTTCTCTGGCTAGTGTCCCCTCACCTGTTGCAGAACACATGGGTGAGAAGGTAGTGAATGACAGGAACTCTCATTTACTGCTGGTGGGAAGGCAAAATAATAAAGCCATTTTGAAAGACAAAAAAAAATAAATAAATAAAAAGACCAAAAAAAAAAAAAAAAAAAGACAGAACAAGCTTTCCCTAGGTGGCTGGCGGCTTCCAGAGTCTCTTCAATTAGTGTTTCTGAGACCCAAGTGTGATCTCACAAAGCCACAAAGGGGAGGAAGTTGCTCTGTGTGGAAGAGCTGGTACCCCACCCACAAGGATCCCTGCCTTTGAGCAGTGCATGGGGGCTGCCCTCTAGCCAGGCTGGAGGGAAAGAGACCCCATTACTTTGAAATAATATCAACAAAACCTTAACATTGACAGAACACTCACTTTGCGTGTATTGACTCATTTAACTCTCAAAACAGAAAAGAATGTGTTAATACGCCCATTTTACAGAGGAGAAAAGCAATTGCTTTGCCTAAGCCTACCCAGCTAAGCATCTGAAGAACTGCAGGGTTGGGTCTCAGATCTATAACCACTCAAGGCATCAGACACACTCTTCTAGGCTTTCTTCAAGGGTTGGAGATGCTGGGGGAGTGGGGCAGAGAAGGATATGGTGGGTGGCAGGGGCAGAGAAGGATATGGTAGGCGGCAGGCTGTCAGAGAAAAGTCGTCTCACCCTGGTTTCTTCCCCACCACTCAGAATGGAAAACTTGCTCTTCTAGACTAGTGGCCTGAGGCCAGAAAATCTTCATTCTGTTTACACTTTGCCTTGTGGTAGACACTGGGGAGACAGATGGTCTCTCCATAATAGTGTTATTTTTATTTTTAGCACTTTTTGATCTGTAGTGCATTTTAAAGCTGCTAACCACACTTGCTTCTGACAACTGTGTAGGGAATATAGGTATAGGGAAGATTCTGTTATTCCCATTTTACAGATAAGAAAACTGAGGCCCAGAACAGGGTTCATATCACTAGGTATGGTGGAGGGGTGAGAATCTTCTCTTCTAACTAGTATGCACCTAGCAGACTCTCCTTCCACTGCCCCAGGCAAGCTCATCCTTCTATCATTTCACCTTCCTAGAAAGGGGCATCTTGAAGTCATCACGCCCCCATAAGGCTCCTTTGTTATCTCAGGACCATATCAGCCCTAATGGGGGCCTTGAAAGGGCTTCAGGCTCACTCCTCTGCTAACTGTGCTCATAAATTGGCAAAGACTGCTTGATTCTCTCTGCTTTCAACCCCCTTCTGGACTACAGGAAGAGATAAAGAGAGCAGGATGGCTTTCGACATCTAGGTTGAGAACAGAAAGAAGGCAAAAAAGAGAGAGGGATGTTCCAATGTTCACAGGCACAGTGCTGGGTCAGAAGTAGCCCCATTCTCTACCGCAGGGTAGCTCTGGGTCAAGGCATGGAGGCTTAGGGGTGACCAATTAGACAGGAGATCTGACAAGTAAGAAGAATGCCAGCTCAGGGTGCAGAGTAACCCTGCTGCTAACCCTGCCTAGCCCTGGGAGACAAACCCAACCTCATTCTCAGCCCAACCTCAACCTCTCCATACAAAGCCAATTAGCCTTAAATAGCTGCTCCTAATGTCTTGACCAATCCATCAGGACTTCCACCCATCCCTGCTCTGAGCAGAAACATTCCACCAGTCCTGGGTTTTAACAGTAAATTAATGAGAGAGATAGGGAAGGGGGCTATCTCACTTTAAAAATCAAGGAGTCCATGGGGCCCTGTGGCTCACGCCTGTAATCCCAGCATTTTGGGAGACTGAGGTGAGCAGATCACTTGAGCTCAGGGGTTTGAGACCAGCCTGGGCAACATGGTAAAACCCCATCTCTACAAAAAAGACAAAAATTAGCCCGGTGTGGTAGCGCATGACTGTAATCCCAGCTACTCAGGACGCTGTGAAGGGAGGATCACCTGAGCCCAGAGATAAGGCTGCAGTGAGCTGTGTTTGCACTACTGCACTCTCTAGCCTGATCAACAAAGGGAGACCCTGTATCACCAAAAAAAAAAAAAAAAAAAAATCAAAGCATCTCTCTGGATAATCTGCTCTTTATAAACAAATAAATGAGTAAGTAAGCCTCTGCCACTTGCAGATATTTTGCACTTTATAACATGCCTTCAAATGCATGATCTCGTTTGATCGTCACACAGATGAGAAGCCTGGGTTGGAGAGTCAGAGCCAGGAGTCAAGCCCAGATCCACAATAATTGGAATTGAAATTAGAATTTAAAACTCTCTTAGGGGCTGGGCACAGTGGCTAACACCTGTAATCCCAGCAATTTGAAAGGCCGAGGTGGGAGGATCACTTGAGCTTAGGAGTTCAAGACCAGCCTGGGCAAATAGTGAGACCCCCCATCTCATTTTTGTTTAACGTGAAAAAAGAAAAAAAAGAAATTAAGATTCTCTTAGGAAACGTTCTCAAACGTGGAAAGTGAGTGTTGGGTTGGGCAAAGCATAGCTTTTCTCTTCCATTAAGCAGCAGCTTTTCCAGAACCGATGGTGGAGAGCAGAACTGCATGCAGTTGGCTGTTGTAGGTGGTCAACAAACCTTCACTGATTGAGCAAAGAGTAGAGCCCAGTAGAAAGCTGTGGGTGGAGAGGTGCACTTGCGAAAGCATAAGAAAAATTTAAAAATACACATGGACCCATCCTAAGGAATCTTATGATTGGACAGAATTTTCTAGAAGGCAGGAGCATAGAGTGAGGCTCTGAGGCTTTGTAGGAGGGACTATGACTACCCATGGAGTCCAGGTACCCTCAGTCTGTCACATGGATTCTGGTTTTAGAGACCTAGGACATCACGGAGCCCTGCCAGAGAGAATGGCTGTGCTGTCAGCTGTCACAACTTCTCATCCTGCCTCATGGCAAAGCTCCAGTAGGAAGACGCATCACCCCATGAGAAAAGCCTTAGAAATGAACGCTATTTCCTTAAGAGAGAAGCATCCCTGCAGTTGGAATGGTTCTGATTCAGCCCTGGGGCTGAGGGAAGGGGAGGAGAGCAGGTTCAGCTTCCCCACAAAACTTGCTCCTGGGAGCGTTTCCTGGGGAACCTCCTATTGGCTCTGGGAGTGGCTTGGGTAGGCCCAGAGGGTTGGAATGTAAACAGTTCAGAGGACTAGTGAAAAGATAAGTGCCCAAAGGGTCTGGTGCTGCACACGGGGATGAGGAAGGCCTGTGTTTACTGTGGATGAGAAGGCATGCGTGGTTAGCCTGCTGGGTGGAGCTATGAGTGACCTGCCTGTTCCTCTCACCCCTGACGATGAAAACCAGGGCTGCCCTGGCACTGAGCCAAGGAAACCCCCCCGCCCCCCCTACCCCAGCACAGGTCACAGCCACGATGCCTCACTGCTTTTGCTGGAAGCCCTGGGCAAATTTGTGCCCAGTCCCTGGCATATGCTTTCAGTGACAAAGGCAATGAAGGGATAAAGGAAAACCCCCGCCAGTGCTGGGAGCCTCCTTGGGACAGGGTTTCTCATAGTATGAAAGATTTCTTGCTCATTTCTAGGCTTCTGGGAGATTAGAAAATAATTTTTTTAAATCAGGGTCACAAAAATTGAGGCTTTTAGAAATGTTTGTTTTAGAATACTAATGCTTTAACCACCCGCTTAATTTATATGCAAGATGACTGTTCTGTTTTCCAGAAAATAACAGAACTTACACAATGTTAATTCATAGTTCACCAATTACAAGTGAAGTGGGGTTCAGCCAACAAGACTCAAGCTTAAAGTTTTGCAATTAATGCCTTCTCTTTTTAATCCTTGCAATGTATCTCTGAGAATGTTACATCCTTAACAGATTAAGCCAAAAACTTAACTGCAAGATCCTTTGTGATAGGAGGCCAGGGAAAATGGCCTTCCAGACCCCCATGGAGAGGCCTGCCTTGGAAGAGACCACCTTAGAGGGAGGTGGAGAAGCAACAGAGGCTGAAGGACAGTCTTTGCCCTCCTTCCCTCCTGCCTTCCTTTTTTCCTTCCGATACTCAGTGTACTGCATAAGGGCTCACATATGCACACAGAGGATAGGTGAGTGAGTTTGCTTATGTGATGGGACCTGGACAGGTGTGTGTGTGAGAGTGTGCAGACCGGGGGGTCAAGGGTGTGTGTGTGTGTGTCCATGCGCATAACCTGCAGTGAGACACCCTCCACCCATCCATGGCTAAGCTCTTCTCTTTCCGGTTTCTTGTCACATTCAGCTTCTGAGCATCTGTCCTAGAATTTAGCAGCTGTGAGTGGCTTCTGTTGTCTTCCTTTGATCAAAGCCAGCAAGGAGCCAGGCACTGGGTCAAGCAAGAAAAGAGTCTAAGCTGACATGGGTTCAGAGGGAAGGCAGGAGAGGCAGAGTGTCTGAATCAGCACGGTGATCACAGGGTCCAGACGCAAGCTGGAGACATACTCCAGCCCACCCTATCTCAGAGAAGCTTGCATCCCCCGTGTGTCCAGACCTCGAAGCAGTGGAAGGGGCACCCCAATTCTGAGGAAGAGGCAAGGAGGGCCAGTTGAAGCAATGTGAGAATGGGGATCCTGGCTAGGGGTGTCATAGGAATGATAGCCTTGGAGAGGGGAAGGTATAGGGCATCCCCTCCAGGGACCCTTCCTAGCCTAGGCCAGGGGGATGCCCGTGGGAGCTGCCTATTTCTGTCTGCAGCCATGAGTATGTTGTTATTTCCCCAGTTTCAGTTCAACTCAAACCACATGGCCTTATCTGGAGGGTCATCGGGGCCAATGGGAAGGAGGGCAACACCAAAACATCCTTCAGCTCCATATTTCAATGTCACTGTGGCTAGTGGGAGGTTCTTCTTGATATCCCACCTCAATACCACCAACTCCAAAGGATATGGGAGAAGCAATATCTAATCAAAAGAAAGGAAAGTGTTTTCTCCACATCTTTCAATCCCTTCTCTGTTTACTTTCCTGGGAGCCTCCACATCTGGGGAGACATTCTTGGCATATTTCCCAATGGCAAAGACGAGTGTTCTCTGAGCCAAGTGCAGGGAGTGGGGAGAGGGGTGAGGAGGCCCAGAGCATCTGTGAGCCAGGGTGGATGCAAAGGTGTCGGCAGCACTTCCCTCCCTTCCCAAGATCCCACTAGCTCTCCTCTGGAAGGGAGGAGGCCTTGGTTCTTGTCCAAGGCCTAGGTTCTTGGGTCTGCTGTTAAATAGCATCCTGGCCTTGGCAAGCCACTTCTTCCCTCTAGTCCTCAGTTTTGTAAACGGTGGGGTCTGGAGTTGATTGGTGGATGGAGTAGTTGAGGCTGAGCCAGAACCACATCTCCAGAATCCCGCCTGGTGTCTTCAGCAAGCTGGAGAACCTGCTGCTCCTGGATCTCCAGCACAACAGGCTGAGTTGATTGGTGGATTTCAAGCCATTTTTAGCAAAGAAACATGTTCCCCTCTCCCCCACACCAAATGAATGCTTTGGGTAAACCTCATTATATATAATAGGTTTTTTTAAAAAGAGAGCTGCTGAGGTTGACACAGGGGTGGGTTGAGGGTACCCCAGGCCCATCTCCTTAGTCTCCTCCCCACAGGGGTGCTCCACAGAAATGAAGGCAGAGTTGGAAAACCACTATGTTATGGGATCTTTAAGGACTTTTCTGTATTTAACCAGGACTATAGTTCATAGTCCTAACTATGGACTATGGTTCATACATCCTAACATCTCTCTCATGAAGACACTGATGATTTTCTCAGCCTGTGAATGGGAGGACTGAGGGCCAGAGTGGTTAAGGATCTTCTCCGACAAGCCCCAGGACTCCTGACTCCAAGTCCAGTGTCCTTTCTTTCTTTCTTTCTTTCTTTTTTTTTTTTTTTTTTTGACAGAGTTTTGCTCTTGTTGCCCAGGCTGGAGTGCATTGGTGCAATCTCGGCTCACTGCAACCTCCTCCCGGGTTCAAGAGATTCTCCTGCCTCAGCCTCCCAAGTAGCTGGGATTACAGGTGTCCATCACCACACCCTGCTAATTTTTTGTATTTAGTAGAGACGGGGTTTCTCCATGTTGGTCAGGCTGATCTTGAACTCCTGACCTCAAGTGATCCACCTGCCTTGGTCTCTCTCCCAAAGTGCTGGGATTACAGGTGTGTATACCACTGCTCCAGCCCCAGCCCCAGCCCCAATGTGCTTTCTTTTTTTTTGAGACAGAATCTCACTCTGTCACCCAGGCTGGAGTGCAGCGGCATGATCTCAGCTCATTGCAAGCTCCTCCTCCCGTGTTCACGCCATTCTCCTGCCTCAGCCTCCCGAGTAGCTGGGACTACAGGAGCCCTCCACCACGCCCAGCTAATTTTTTGTATTTTTAGTAGAGATGGGGTTTCACCGTGTTAGCCAGGATGGTCTCGATCTCCCGAACTCGTGATCTGCCCACCTCGGCCTCCCAAAGTGCTGGAATTACAGGCGTGAGCCACCACACCCGGCCCCCAGTGTGCTTTCTACCAGCATGCCCCCTGCCCTCTTCAAAGCAGGCTCAACACGTCAAGTGGCTAAGCCAATGGCCAAGGAATCCAGAGCCTCAAACCCTTGTTACTCCCTCACCTGCTGGGTACAGGCAAACAAGGAGATGCTTCTACAGCTCCCCGAGCTCTGCCCATCTTCCCTGGAGCTCTAGTTCTGCCCAATTCTGGCTTCAAAAACATGACATCTAGTTACTGAGGGCCCAAGGCTAATGACCTCCTGTGTCTTCTCCCTGCAGGTGCATCACCTAGATCATGAGGTCACCCCTCTGCTGGCTCCTCCCACTTCTCATCTTGGCCTCGGTGGCCCAAGGCCAGTCAACAAGACGACCAAGACCCGGGACTGGGCCCGGGCGCAGACCGAGACCCAGGCCCAGGCCCACACCCAGCTTTCCTCAGCCTCATGAACCAGCAGAGCCAACAGACCTGCCTCCTCCCCTCCCTCCAGGCCCTCCATCTGTCTTCCCTGACTGTCCCCGCGAATGCTACTGCCCCCCTGATTTCCCATCTGCCCTCTACTGTGATAGCCGCAACCTGCGAAAGGTCCCTGTCATCCCGCCCCGCATCCATTACCTCTATCTCCAAAACAACTTCATCACTGAGCTCCCGCTGGAGTCCTTCCAGAATGCCACAGGCCTGCGATGGATTAACCTGGACAACAACCGAATCCGCAAGATAGACCAGAGGGTGCTGGAGAAATTGCCTGGCCTGGTGTTCCTCTACATGGAGAAGAACCAGTTGGAAGAGGTCCCCTCGGCCCTGCCCCGGAACCTGGAGCAGTTGAGGCTGAGCCAGAACCACATCTCCAGAATCCCGCCTGGCGTCTTCAGCAAGCTGGAGAACCTGCTGCTCCTGGATCTCCAGCACAACAGGCTGAGCGACGGCGTCTTCAAGCCCGACACTTTTCAGGGCCTCAAGAACCTCATGCAGCTCAACCTGGCCCACAATATCCTGAGAAAGATGCCGCCCAGGGTCCCTACCGCCATTCACCAGCTCTACCTGGACAGCAACAAGATTGAGACCATCCCTAACGGATATTTCAAGAGCTTTCCCAATCTTGCCTTCATTCGGCTTAACTACAACAAGCTGACAGACAGGGGACTCCCCAAGAACTCCTTTAACATCTCCAACCTGCTCGTGCTCCACCTGTCACACAACAGGATCAGCAGTGTGCCCGCCATCAACAACAGGCTGGAACACCTGTACCTCAACAACAACAGCATCGAGAGTGAGTGGGGTGGGCCAGGGCAGGGCCGAAGGCAAGGATGTTGGCTTGTGTAGCGCCTCTACCCTCTCTAGGGAGTCTCAGGGTGGGGTGGTATAAAAAGCATCCACTTTGGCACTGGACTTCAATTTATGGCCTTGCCACTTGCTATCTGGGTGACCTTGAAAAGATATTTGACCTCTCTGGGAAGTTTCCTCATCTGTAAAGTGAGAATGGTAATAATACCTTCTATCACGAAGGTGATATGAAGATGTAATAGTTTAATACGGAGAAAGTGCCCAGAATACCATACCTAGAGGGTCATAGGTTTTCTTCCTCCATTCTTCCTCAGCCCCAGTTCCTTGGCAACTGGATCTATAGGTAGTGTAGACATGGAATATACTCCTGGACATTATACTAAAGACAGAACAGAGACATTTAAATACCTATCCTGAAATGTCCTGGGCCGGCCCTCTGCAGAAACCTGCCCCTGTGGGAGGATGCTTCTTCCCAAACCTGAGCCTGGGTTTTTATTCAGGGTACGCAACTGGTAAAAATGAGGCAGTCAGGAAAAGAAGGTCTGTATGCTGGTGCTTTCTGAATCTATCCGGAAGGGTGCAATGTTTAGGTGGACTTAAGGGAGAGTTTGCCTGACTGATATTTACAGGGTCCTGAACTTGGAGTATCAGTTGCAGCCAGGAGAGAAGTTTGGAAGTTGCAGTTTTGCTTCAATCAAAAATTTCAACTCTGAGCAGAGCACCAGCAGAAAGTTTTAGAAGTGAAATAATATTTTCTGGTCCTTGAACAAAATCAGCCTACATTCACACAAGGGATGCAGCAGCAGAAGGAAAGAGAGGGATTCAGGGAGAAGAGAAGGACCCTTAGAATGATATTTGGGGATCCTTAGGTTCCAAGCCAAAGAATGAGAGGGAGATTGTTGGTGTCTCTACCGACACCAACAATGGGCGAATAGATCTGTTTGCTCATTTGAGATAATTTCAAGAAGTAGGGGAGGATTTTTTTTAATCTTACAAAAAAAAAAAAAAAGGGAAAAGGGGAAGACTGTCTAATTTTACCCTGGAGACAGTACACTAAAATAAAACACATTACCCCCAGGAAGCTATGAGGCCAAAATACAGACAGAAAGGATACCTTGATTAATAAATGGCTGATAGGTCTTTACCAGATTATGGAAGAACAGGCTGCTAGAAGATATCCCAGCCTTCTAAGGTTGAAGTGAGAGAACTCACACCTCACCCACATGGGCCCACCCCATCCAGCCTGTCTCCTGTGTCTTTCACAGACAGAATGGGCTAAGTGGGGGCCTAGGTCAGTGTGACAATTACGTTCTTCACAATGACCGTAATGCTGCCACTGGTACTGTCCTCAAAACAGCTTGCAAAATGCCTTTGCCAACATTCTCTCCCCTGATTACAGGGAAGGCACCACTCTTACCATTTCACAGATTGAAGAACTCAGCATCAGTGTGGCTAGGCAACAGCCAGCCCCAAGCTCATAAGAGAAAACCCCTGTGTCAGGGCCCTTCTGCTACTCCAATGGTGAGGGAGAAAGAGCAGGAAAAGGAAGAGGAAGACAATTACAATGAAAATGATGCCTACTCTTCCTCCTCCTCCTCCTCCATAAATAAGTGAGGCAAAGCTTAGGGAGAATAAAACAGTTCCTTTAAATGCTGGCATGCCTGGTGCCACCGGCATCTAACAAGATGTGATGGAGGAAATGGAATCTCAGGCCACAGACCCTTCAGAATCAGTAGGCTCATCATGTCCCTGGGGCTCCAGAGCTCTCCCCAGACCCTCTTTCCTCTTCCTGTCATCCCTATTTCAGTTACCATCTTTTGCCCATCCTCATGTCTCACATCCAATTCAAAGGAAAACCTGCAGAGTAATTTTCACATCCATCTGCTGGCTTCAGATCTCACCTTACTCCATAGCTTCTCCACACTGTAGCCAGATTCATCTTTGTACAGCATAAACCTGAACATAGGGATCCCTAAGGACCCTTCCAGATTTAACACTCCAGGATACCATGGTTTAAGTATCCTATTAATAACATTGTTCTCATAAAGAGAGTCCCGTTCACTGCCGTTCCTCAGACGAGAGACCAAAAGCCTCTTAGTGAAAGACTGTTTGAAAGCCTAACTACCTTCCCAGCTTACTCTCCTTAGTACACCACATTGCACTATTACTAGTCCCAGATTCACCCACAAGCAGAATTTTGGCCTCTATAACTTCATTCAAAGATTCCTCTATCAGAACACCATCCCCCAGGTCTCCACCTGTTGTAATCCTACCTATTCTTGAAGGCCCAGTTCAAAATTTACTTCCAATTCTCTAGAGTGAACTTGTAATAACAGTTGTTGATCAATTCCAACTTAATTCAATTTACAAATGAGTAAACTGAGTCTGGAGGTCAAGGCAGCTCATCTATGATCACACATTCCCAAAGCTAGCCAGTTTCAGGGAGAAGTCTACAGTCCTTGCTCTCGGGTGTCCTCCCCCTTCCGCTTCCTCATCTTGGCCGCCAGCCTCCACTCCCTGCTGATTTCTCGTCTTCTTTTTCCGTAGAAATCAACGGAACCCAGATTTGCCCCAACAACCTAGTGGCGTTCCATGACTTCTCCTCGGACCTGGAGAACGTTCCACACCTGCGCTACCTGCGGCTGGATGGGAACTACCTGAAGCCGCCCATCCCGCTGGACCTCATGATGTGCTTCCGCCTCCTGCAGTCCGTAGTCATCTAGGCCCTACTCCGCCAAGGGATCTGCTCTGACCGCACTTGAAGGCTGGGGCCCAGGCGCCTGTGCCCGCCATTCATTTTCTCTCTCTCCCTTTCTTGCTCCCAGCTTTGCCTCCCTTATCCCACCCTCGAGGCAGGGAAAAACCATCTATTCTTCTGCAGCCTCAGGAGCGAGACTTCCAAGGGCTCGGTTTGGTCCCACCCAGTTGAAAGACACCCAGTGCACACCCAAACTCCTGGCCTTCTGTGGTTTCCCTTTGTTCCAGAAACACAGATGTGTCTAAAGACTTGGTGTCCCCTTCTCTCTCCTCCCCTACCCGCCACTCCTGGGTACATCTGGGCCATGGACTGACATCTGATCTTGGTCCTGGCCCAGCAAGCAGCCGGGAGGTAAGGTTCAGAAAGTCCCCCTGGGGACTCCTCCATCTTGGGCAGCTCTGGCTCAAAGAGGCCAAGAAACCCAGTTCTCCTGGGCCAAGGATCCCTTCTGGCAAAGCTGCTGCTCCGCGGCGCGGTTCCCTGGCACCAGATATCGTCCTGGCCCTGCTGGCCCGGGTCTCCGGAAAGGAGGAGCGAGGGAATGACGGAGGTGGGGTGCAGGGTCAGGGCTGCCGCAGGGGCCTGCATCTGGCCAGCAGGTCACAGGGATGCGCAGGGGGGCCCCTCCTGTTCCAGAGTGAACATAGCACACGCTCTCCTGGCTGGGCCTCAGGGGGAACAGCCAAGGAGAAGAATGGCCCAAGGAACTAGGAAGCAGCCATGGGAGAGGGGAGGGGTTCAAGCCCGGATGGGCCCGCGTGGCGTCGATGGGTCCTCCGGCCCCCTTGCCCAACCTCGGGTTTAGGGAGCAGCGTTCACAGTGTTTGTGTGGGGGCGGGGGAGGGAAGAGGCAGCAGCCCCGCCCCCGCCATCTGTTCTCCATCAGTGTGCGCGGCCCAGGCTTTTCCACCCCCGGGAGGCGGCTCCTGAGGAACAGGGAGGAAGGGGCGGAGCACCTGGACATCTCCCAGAAGCCCCTCTACGTTTGAAAATGCGCCTCCTCCCCGGAGACAGACGCGTGGGTGCCACCTAGTGGCTGGTGGGGGTAACAGCTGGCCCCAGTCTTAACGCCTGGCCCTCTTCCTGGAGTGATTTTCCTCAGTGGAGGCGGCCCGTGGGGTCCCAACATGGAATAACCATGAGCCGTATGCATGGTGTCGCTCTCCTCTAAGGTCTAACGGGCACTAACGTCCCCACGCTGGGCTCATTCCCGTCGTGAGTGAGGGAGGTGGATAAGATTCTCCTGGCCCGGCGCGGTGGCTCACGCCTGTAATCCCAGCACTTTGGGAGGCCGAAGCGGGCGGATTATTGCCTGAGCTCAGGAGTTCGAAACCACCCTGGGCAACATGGTGAACACCCCCCACCCCCCGCCCGTCTCTACTAAAAATACAAAAAAAAAAAAAAATTAGCCAGGTGTAGTGGCGGGTGCCTGTAATCCCAGCTACTAGGAGGCTGAGGTGGGAGAATCGCTTGAGCCCGGGAGGCGGAGGTTGCAGTGAGCCGGGATTGTGCCACTGCACTCCAGCTTGGGTGACAGAGTGAGACTCCGTCTCAAAAAAGAAAGAAAGAAAGAAAAAAAAAGATGCTCCTCTGAGGTCCCTCCGGCACTCATGTTCCGAGTCTGGGGCTCCACACCTTAAATCGTACTCGAATGCAGGACAAGTCCTAAATATTTGCCCCTTCCCTTGAGTAACTTATTTTCTGTATGGACTGTCCCTCCTCTAGAGGCTTCCCCACCCTCCATGCCTGGCCCAGGTGAACGGCTTGGCGGGTCTCCAAGTGGAACCCGGTCCAGACAGGGCTGCCTCGACTTCACCTTCCCCCCTAACTTCCTCCAAGGGATGCTGCCCCTTCTCCGCCCCCTACGTGTGTATGTTGGTGGGAGGCACAGGGGATGGATATTCTAGAAATGAGTAAGACACAGTGCCCACCCCCAAGTTAGGATGAAAAATGTTCCAGAGGTTTTTAAGAAATTGGATTAAACTGGGTCCCTGACTGCAAGAAATTCCCATTATGCTCCTTCTCACCTTTCTCTTTTGCTAATTATGGAAAATACGGCCCATTTCATCATAGCCTCCTTCCCCCATGCTCCACTACAATCGCCGCATTCTTTTCTAGCTGCAGCTGGTTTCTCCAAGGCTCCTGCTTAAAGTCGATGCATTATGGTGCGTTATGGCCGAAAGCAACCTGGTGCTTCGGCCTGGATAAGAGCCCCTTCTGCATCTTATTCACAGCTTGCAACCTCAGCCCCTTTGATGAGGCCCTCAGGGGAGAGGTCATTCCCTTGATCCTGCAAACCCAGACTCATTTAGCAGTAAAGCAATCACCATCATCCCACTGCCCAATCTAGAAGATGTCTGCTCTCCATCGCTCTCTGCAGCTCTAAGCCAAAGGGGATTCAAGGTAAATTGACTTTACAGGCTCCCCTCCCCAAACACACACACAATGGGCTGGTTTCTTTTGAGTTTAAAAAAGCCCCCTTCTCCATGCACAAGTTCATTCCCTCCATGCTGTTGTCATCGACATATACAGGTGTGTATGTAGGTGTACATGTGTACTCTGCACGTATATCTCTTCTCTCTTGAAGACCGTGTTAACTTTGTGAAATAACTTCCACATTTCAACACGCTTCACAGTAGAGGAAATAAAGTAATATGAAAAACACCCTGCTTGAACTCGACGGTGTGAAAAGATCAAGAATAACACTTTAAAGTCATCTTTAAACCACCGGCTGGGCACGGTGGTTCATGCCTGTAACCCCAGCGCTTTGGGAGGCCAAAGCGGGCAGATCGCCTGAGGCCAGGAGTTCAAGATCAGGCTGGCCAACATGGTGAAACCCCTTCTCTTCTGAAAATACAAAAATTGGCCGGGTGTGGTGGCGCATGCCTGTAGTCCCAGCTACTTGGGAGGCTGAGGCAGGAGAATTGCTTGAACCCGGGAGGCAGAAGTTGCAGTAAGCCGAGATTACACCACCGCACTCCAGCCTAGGAGACAAAATGAGACTTCATCTCAAAATAAATAAATAAAAATATAGATAAAGTCATCTTGTCACCCACCCGCTACCGTTGAGCCACCATGCCAAGCCCCAAAGCCTGTTACTTGCTCTAACAAGATGAGTGGAGAAAAGATTATATTCTTAAGAAATTCCTATGAAAGCTATCCTAAAGCCTTTTCTTTCTTCTTTTCTTCATATTTTTTAATAGAGGCAGGGTCTCATTATGTTGCCCAGGCTGGTCTGGAACTCCTGGCCTCAAGTGATCCTCCCACCTTGGCCTCCCCAAAGTGCTGGGATTACAAGTGTGAGCCACTGTGCCGAGCCCCAAAGCCTTTTCTTGAAGAATTTCTCCCAAACTCACAACCCTCATGAAAAATTAATCCTCAATTCCACAAGACTGCCCACACACAGACCAAATATCTATATATATATTCCTAAAGTCAGACCAGAAATCTAACAACTGCATTCGAAACCCAAAGCCTCAGGTCCTTTCAACCCACACGTACTAAATTGTTGAGGGTCTCCCAGGAGCTCTGTACCGAGGCAGACACAGAAAGACACAAAACGGTCGTCTTTCCTGCCCAAGTGAAGCTTACAGACTAACTGGGGAGATGTGGTGTGCATACAAAACAGTAAAAGAGCTGTCTCGAGGGGAGAGAACATAGAGCCAAGTCATCTGGAATGGTCTACATGCCATGCGGAAGTCCACAGAAGGGTTAGAACAGGGTGTCCTCTCTTCCAAGGGAAGATTGGTGCAAAAGTGGGGTTCCTGACCCTCCCAGCCGACACCATCTTCTTTAGAAGAGAACTGCCAGGTGACGCCCTCGCTGCTCCTGCCTGGCTACTAAACATCTACTTCCGTTCACTTCACGGATGTTCAGTGGACATCGGTCACATGCCAGGTGCCCCGCGAAGCATTCAAGGATGGGTAATATACACAGCGGCACACCCCTGAGGAACTCTACCTTGGTAAAGAGAAAGAAATCCGTGAATGGATACCTCTGTCCTAAGTGTTTGTAATAATGCTGTGTATGAACAGCATCGAGGAGAGGGCTTTTCCCTCTACCTGAGGAAAACCAGAAAGGCTCCTACCATGTGAGCTGGCTCTTAAGGGATAAATCAGGTTTTGCCAGGGGGACAAAAGAAAAAAAGATGCCACCTGGACGGGAAACAGCATGAGTACAAAGGTAGGAAGGTGTGGAGTCCACCCTGTGGGGCTTGTGTGTCTGAAAAAGAAGAGAGGGTCATGTTCCGGTCATGGCGTTATGTAGCTACAAGCCCTCAGCAGGGGATATACTCCCGTCCTCCAAAACACAGGAGGGTTCCTGAACTTCCCTGCCTCTCTCTCCCTGTCCATGAAAAGGGCAACAACAGGGTTGGCTGGCCAGACTTCTGTCCATACCACCTGCCACCTCCGATTCATCAATACGCCGTGTGCCTCTCCTAATGAGAGATTGGGATTAGGACGCCTCCCCCACCTCCTGCTTCCTTTGCCAGGCTCTCAGGGAGCTGGGCTGCCTGGAACAACAGTCTGCAGGGTTAGCCGTTTCTCCCCCCAGGTCGCATGTATACATCCATGGACAGCCCCTTATATTCATGAGAACAAGAGCGTGTGACCTGCAAACTTGGGAAAGCAAGAGGAGAAGTTGGGAGAGGGTCTAGGATGCGAGCCTGTGTCTGGATGTGGCTCCTGCCGCGAGTGGGGGGAGCAGGTGTGTATGTATTGGGAAGGAACGATAGTGGGGGTGCGGCAACCAAGCAGGAATGGCAGGACCGTGTGTGTCACTGGGAAAGCAGGGAGGGAGGGTGGGACCAGGTGGCAGGGAGAGTGAATGAACACTCGCATTTGCATTTCTCCCAGGAATAAATGTGTAGGGTGGGAGGAGGGAAATCGCCTAGGCTGGCTGTGGGGGCGGAGGGCCTCTGGCTGCAAAGCCCAGGCTGTGGAGAGAAGAGGGAGGCATACAGCCCGCCAAATGTGCCATCTGCCTCCTGGGTGCCCTCCAGGATCCAGGACTATCTTTCCCTCCACCCAGCAGAGCCTCTGATGGTGTCTCCCCCCAGGTGGGGGGCTGCCAGGGGTACAGGAACATACTCTTCTCTAGTGACCAGGCTCTTGGGCCGAGGGAAGCCCCCTCTCACACCAGCTGGTGCCCAGGAACACAGCAAGCCAAATGCTGCCCTCATGGGCCAGGCTATTAGATCTGCCTCTTCACCTGGTGTGCCAGGGCAGAGATGAGTTCTGCCAAGCCATCTGCTCTGAGGGCCTGGAAACATATGGACTCAGGATTCCTGGGGAAGAAGGTGGAAATAGGGAGGGTCATGTGAACTAAAGAAAACTCTCTAACCCCACAGTCAAAAAATCTAGGCATTGGCCCTGGCTCAATGTGACCTAGGGCAAGTCATGTCACCTCTTTGGGCCTCACTTTCCTCATCTATACCACAAGGATTTGGACTAGATCTTTACGGGGGCTCACAGCTGGAATTCAATATCTGGTTGGTGGAAAGGAGTAGGGAACAAGGAGAGTCACTGAGAAACCTGGGTGGACCCCGGGGCACAGGCTGGCAGAAGCTGGAGGAAGACTCTTTAGCCACCCCACATCTGCCTTCAGCAAGGACTTGCTTGGCAGCCTGCTAGAGGCACCAAGGAAAGGGGAGTGCTTCCAGATAAATGCCATGGGCCCTCTGTATCTGTGGGTTCCACATCCATGGATTCAACCAACTGCAGATTGAAAATATTCAGAAAAAAATTCACAACGTTCCGAAAAGGAAAACTTGAATTTACTGTGTGCCAGTACTGTGTGGAATCCATGTGAATGGAGTGAGGTGTAAGCCTTGTGTTTGGTGCTATAGGTAATCTAGAGATGATTTAAAGTACACAGGAGGATGTGCATAGGTTATATGCAGATTCACCGTTTTATATAAAAGACCTCAGCATTTGTGGATTTGGTATCCACGGGATGTGCAGAACCAATCCCCCATGGTTACTGAGGGACAACTGTACCTCTCTGAGGGTTGGGGAGAGGATACTTCCCAGGCCCCCGAGGACCCTACACAATGTCTTCTGGTGTTTATGATCCTTTCTAGGGCCCATCTCCCAATTTCCATTTGGTTTCTTCCTAGCAGATTTAGAGAATTTCCCGTATCCTCATGATCATCATCTGTGAACTTGAGGTTGGCATTCAAATCCTATCACATCCCCCATGCACCTTCTCTTTGAACCACCCAGGCCTGCAGCTCCTGCCTCTGGTGATTTTGTTCAATTATGGTCTCTGTGCTGGCACTCTAGGTGGGGGTGAAGTACCTCAGTTCCACCTCGTTTTATCTTTGGATTCTCGCTGTGAAGTGAAGCCTCATCACTCTCTGGCTGGAGAAAGAAGCTGGAAAGACAAGCTCTCTCTCTCCACATCCCCCTACTCCAGCCTTCTCTGAGGGCTCAGAATATGAGGGATGGGGACCCTTCCTTGTGGGGGATGGCACTGCCTGTTCCTCAAAGATGTTCCCTTATCAGGAGGGTGGGCAAGGAAAAGAAAGAAGGAGCTGACAGAGTAAGAGGAGAGACAGAGCAGGAGCTGGAGGTGGGGGGCGAAGCGGAAGGCAGGGGGAGAATTCCTTTTCGTCAAGCACAGGAATGGGGCAGGGGACCCCCTGAGGAAAGAGGAGGGGAAACAGCTGGACATCAGAAGGAATGAGAAGTCTGATTGGTCACAGGCCTGGCCAACTCCTTGCCCTCCCCTGGGCACCACTGTCTAACCCAAGCCCCAGTTCAGACTGCCTCCACCAGAGTCCCCACCTTTCTGGAAGCTACAGGGCTCTCCATCCAGGATCCAGAAGCATTGAAGGGGTAAGGTTCAAGGTTTGAGGCCTCTGGCCCATCGGTATGCAAATGAGGGCAAAGTGTTTGGCTGGGGCAGGGGATTGGGCAGGGAAAATGAAGAGAGTTTAGGCCTCTGGCCAAAGAAGTCGGACAAGACTTCTGAGTGGGCACTAAACTGTCTTAGAAATTTTTTTTAAGATTATGTAATTCGTTTGGGGTGAGGTATGGGAGGTAAGGTGAAGAAATACCTCTTGCTACTGCTGGGGGCTTGCCCCCTTGCCCAGCTGAAATTAAGAAAGGCGGGGAGGTTAACTGGGCATGGTAACACATGCCTGTAGTCCCAGCTACTCGGGAGGCTGAGGCAGGAGGACTGCTGAGCCCAGGACGTTAGGGCTGCAGTGAGCTGTGATCATGCTGTAACACTCCAGCCTAGGCAACAGAGTGACACCTGTCTTAAAAATAGAAAATAAAATTAAAATTAAAAATTAAAAATTAAGATTTTAAAGAAAGAAAGGGGGAGAGCCTACTAGAAGCTTGTGCAGCTAGCTTTGGGGAGGGCTGTGTTAAGCCTACACTGGGGATGACTGTGGTATACACTTATGCCTGGATACAACACCACACCACATGCATTTCCTGACCCGTGTATACATACACAAATTACATGAACATGTGTACTCACATGCATATCACACACATACGCAGGCGTCCGTGCACACACACAAATGCACACAGGTGTCTAAGGAACTTTCCAGATACATACACATTCACGCAATCACACACAAAGATCTCTTTTTTTTTTTTTCTTTTTTTAAGCTGGAGTCTTGCTCTGTTGCCCAGGCTGGAGTGCAGTGGCACCATCTTGGCTCACTGCAACCTCTGCCTCCCGAGTTCAAGCAATTCTTCTGCCTCAGACTCCCTAGTCCCTGGGATTACAGGCGCCCACCAGCACACCCGGCTCATTTTTGTATTTGTAGTAGAGATGGGGTTTCACAATGTTGGCCAGACTGGTCTCGAACTCCCGACCTCAGGTGATCCACCCACCTCAGCCTTCCAAAATGCTGGGATTACAGCATGAGTCACCGCACCCAGCCAGAACTCTTGTACCTATAATAATCTGTTTCTAAAAAACTGTATTTACAAGTATATTTCATAAACTAACATTCTTTTTTACATTGTAGGTTGCATTGTAAGTCCAACATACAATGTAAAAAAGAATGTAATGTAATGTAAGTCCGTGTCTCCTAAAGAGACTAGATGCGCCGGGCGCGGTGGCTCAAGCCTGTAATCCCAGCACTTTGGGAGGCCGAGACGGGCGGATCACGAGGTCAGGAGATCGAGTCCATCCTGGCTAACACGGTGAAACCCCGTCTCTACTAAAAAAAATACAAAAAAATAGCCGGGCGAGGTGGTGGGCGCCTGTAGTCCCAGCTACTCGGGAGGCTGAGGCAGGAGAATGGCGTAAACCCAGGAGGCGGAGCTTGCAGTGAGCTGAGATCCAGCCACTGCAGCCCGGGCGACAGAGCGAGACTCCGTCTCAAAAAAAAAAAAAAAAAAAGAGACTAGATGCTCCTAGGAAGGGCTGTGCCTTATTCATTCTGTACCCACAGAGGCAAGTCCTGTGCCTGGAACTCAATAGACACCCATAAATGTTTGTTGAGCAAATGTAAGAAGAGATGATCTTTATAAAAACCCATAAGATTCAACTGGGCATGGTGGCTTACACCTGTAATCCCAGCACTTTGGGAGGCTAGGGCGGGTGGATCACCTGAGACCAGCCTGACCAACATGGTGAAACCCGTTCTTTACTAAAAATTCAAAAATTAGCCGGGCGTGGTGGGTGCCTGTGATCTCAGCTACTCGGGAGGCTGAGGCAGGAGATTCACTTGAACCTGGAAGGCGGAGGTTGCAGTGAGCCAAGATAGAGTCACTGCACTCCAGCCTGGGCAACAAGAACGAAACTCCACCTCAAAAAAACAAACAAACAAAAAGATCCCATAAGATTCTTTGATGTTGGCATTCTCTGAATCGAGCTTAGTGACTAGCAGTCATGTTCTGAGCATGGGGTTAAGAGAGGACATCTGTGTGCATGCACCAGTGTGGGCCTGGTTTGTAGACAAGGGGATTCTTGTGAATGTGTCTGTGTTGAGATGTGTCTGCACATGCCTCTGTGAGTGAATATCAGTGTTTGGGTGAGAGTGTAAAAACATTAAAGTGGGGCAGTGGTGGGCAGGGACTGCTAGGAGATACCCCCCAAGACATAGTCCCAGCTGGTAGGGAGTTTGTGCATGTGATGAGGGCACTGAGTCTGCAAGTGTGGGAGTGGGAAGTGGGGTAAATCTTCCAGCCGTTCCCACAACCCTGTGGAGAGCCTGCCCCTCAGATCGCTGCCCTTCCTCCTGCCCACTTGCCAGGACCTGCCGCTGAAGGGATTCTCATTCCCATCCAACTCCCCATGAGGCTCCTGGCTTTCCTGAGTCTGCTGGCCTTGGTGCTGCAGGAGTCAGGGACAGCTTCTCTCCCAAGGAAGGAGAGGAAGAGGAGAGAGGAGCAGATGCCTAGGGAAGGCGATTCCTTTGAAGTTCTGCCTCTGGGGAACGACGTCCTGAACCCAGACAACTATGGTGAAGTCATTGACCTGAGCAACTATGAGGAGCTCACAGACTATGGGGACCAGCTCCCCGAGGTGAGGGACACAGGAGACCGACTGCATTCCCTGCATGACACTGGGAGTCAGAGGCCCAGGACCTCCCACCTGCCCCATAGTATGGGTGTCTCAAGCCTCCACCTCTTTCTCTATGAGGTGGAAATTCTTATCCCTCCATAAGGATTTGTCACTTAGATGATACTAAGAAAGAGGACACAAACCTGGGACTCCTCCTTCTTCAGAAGTCATACATCCCTCCCCCTGCCGTCAAGTAGAACCCAAAGCCATGTCTCACTGGGGGAGGAGTTCGAATGTCCTCATCATATTCTCTAGGAAATAAAAGTGCCACATCCCCCGTCTCTTTTCTGAAACTGTCCTCCAGTCTGAAGTTCTTTCCTAGGCCCTCTTGGCCTTCACTGCAGCAGCCTGGGGTGCAAGCCCAGAAGCCCCCACTCGATTGCTGCATGAGCCTGGTCGGTGTGGAGCAGGGGAAGAGCGCCAGCCTGGGAAATTGGGAGAGCAGGTTCCATCTCTGCCTTGACCACCTGCTGGCTCTATGATCCTCATCCCTCTCCTCTCCGGGTCTCAGTTTCTTCATCCGTAGGATGGACATGCCGGACCTGATGCTCTCTCAGGTCCCCTTTTCACACAGTCTTTCTGCTATCCCTTCCCCCTCCTTCTCCACAGTGACTTTTTGCCCATTTGAAATCCATCACTGAGGTTTTCAGGGTCCAAAGTTAAGTCCCTTTCAGGCAAAAGCTGGGTTACTGTGTACTCTGTGCTACATCTCCAGGTTAAGGTGACTAGCTTCGCTCCCACAACCAGGATCAGTCCCGCCAAGAGCACTACAGCTCCAAGGACACCCTCATCAAACCCCACGATGACTAGACCTACTACAGCGGGGCCGCTACTGAGTTCCCAGCCCAACCATGGTAAGTGCACAGTCACATGGTCACAATATCCCTAGGTCATAGGCCAAGCAGCTATGACCCAGCACCAGGGGTACCAAAGTGGAACATGGTCAGTGTGGGGATGTGGAGGGTCAGGGCTACCCTTACTAGCAGAGAGAGGAGGGGAAATGGCCACAGTAAGAACAGGAAAAAAGAAATCAAAGACAGACACTGGCTGTCCCTAATACTTTTGCCTGAATGTACAAGTTGAGTAAGAAGCAAAGAATGCAAGAACTCCCTTATGCCCTAGCAAAGCCACCCTGCCTTAATTAATAGCATGACAGGGGAAGCAGGTTGAGTGGTAATTAGATCAGAGACAATTAAAAACCTGTAGAGAAGAATAACTAACTTTGTGGCTGCCACTTGGCGTGGGAGCAAATGAAGCAGTCACACTGCTTTTCAGCTCCAAAGTCCCTCTTCAGCAGCTCTCTTTCCTTTCCCGATGCCCTCCTGGAGGCTGGAGTTGGCATTCCTGGCAGTGAGGCCTTGGCACTCTGCTGGCAGTCAGAAGTGGGCAGAGGAAGGCTGAAGTTCATTCTGGACCTGCTTGCCCCGAGCTTCCCTGTTCGCTTCTTGGGATGTTTGCCTTGGGTGAACCGGGAGTATTGGGGCATCGGTAGGAAAACCATTCAGTCAGGAATCCATGACCTCTCAGAGCTACAGTCTCAGGCTTAAAGAGGCCATAAAGGGTCTCAGCTGAACCCATTCACAGCCTCAGGATAAGAAAGATGCTGGGGCCCCTCTGCTCCACCCACTCCTCCTGGTCACTGCTGGCAGAGAAGAGCTCCTTAATCTTGGGGCTGTGTCACTGCCACCAGAGTTCTTCCTTGAGTTGAGCTAAACTGGTCTCTCAGTAATTTCTGTGCCTTGTGACAGCAGGTGACAGAAACCACCTGTGCTATTCAGTTGTGTGATCCAATAAAGTCTCCCCAACTATTTGGGGTGGGTGACCTGGCCTAACCTCATGACACCTGGGTACAAAGACAGGGTTATGGACAGAACAAGAGAGGGCTACTTCCCAAAGAAAAATTGGCATGCTGATGCCATAAGAAGGGGAAGTGGATGTTGAGTGGGCATTGTGCTCTCCACCTTGGTTCTATTGTGCTTCTTGGAGCCACACAGAACATATCTAATTTCTCTTCCCCAAGGCAGATGGCAGAGCCAGCAACCACTGGCCATCCCACTTAATTCTGGCTTCACTTTTTGGGACCAGAGAGGAATCCTATGGAAAAGAGACCAAGGGATGTCCTAGAAATACCCACATAGGCCCAGGAAAATGTACACAGAACCAGGGTCTGCTGAAAGTATAAATGGGCTTAGACTGGGTAGTAACTGAGGATGGACCTGCCTCTCTGGGGTCGAGGACAGAGTGACAGGCTGGGAGCAGCCAACAGCACTGAGTACATGGTGCCTGTCAGTTCTGGGCAGCAACCCATAGGCTCTCAAAAAGGCATAGATGGCCATGGTTCAGATACTCCCTGGGGCAAGGGCCATTGGCCCCAGAGGCTGAAGAGATCTCCCTTTGTTTTGTCTTTCACCTGGACCAGGTCTGCCCACCTGCCTGGTCTGCGTGTGTCTTGGTTCCTCTGTGTATTGCGATGACATTGACCTAGAGGACATTCCTCCTCTTCCCCGGAGGACTGCCTACCTGTATGCCCGCTTCAACCGCATCAGCCGTATCAGGGCCGAAGACTTCGAAGGGCTGAGTATGTAATGCCCTGGGAAAAGATGAGTGGGGGCAAGCATAGGAAGCCACCCTGCCACTAGAACAGTCACCAACACTGGGTTAACTCTTTCCTGTTGGCTCTCAGTCCATCCAGCTGTCAAAGGGAAATAGTCCGAAGTCTCTAGAAGTCCCTTCCTTTAAGTGTTTAGATGGTGGAAGGGACCTATTTTTATTTGCTCTCCAAAAACGTCTGGGAAGTTGGGAGGGGAAGGTATGATCTGCCAACATCTTCAGGATGTCCCAGCAATGACAGCTGTGTGATCATCTGGCCTCTGGGCAGGACTGTCTTAAATCTACTCTCCATGGCACTGATGCTGTTTACAAGGTTGTTTGTGTGCTTTTTGCTTCATTATGCCCTATGCCCTGCTTGAGACAGGAGACCTGGGCTCTGATCCCGATTCTACCACTAATTATCCAGAGCCTTTCTGGGCCTAAGCACCCTTCTGTGTAGACTCACAAGTGGAGGTGAGGTGGATCCAGGGATTCCTGGGCCTGTTCATTCTCACTCTCAAGAGACTTCTTCTAAAGGATCCAAGGTGGGCGGCCACCGCACAGGACAGGATTCCAGGGAGGGGCACTGAGGCATCTGAGGGCTTTTCCAAGGAGTCCTGGTTTATGTTATTTTCTCTGGTTTGGGCTAGTGCAGGTGGAGAGCTGGTTACAATCCCCTCATCTTGAGAGGGATGGAGCAAGGTGTGGAGACACCTCCATTCTGGGCAAGGAAAGACAGTGTGTTCTGGTTCATCTCTTTGTTCTCCCCCAACCTCTCTCAGCAAAGTTGAAGAGGATTGACCTCTCCAGCAACCTCATTTCCTCCATCGATAATGATGCCTTCCGCCTGCTACATGCCCTCCAGGACCTCATCCTCCCAGAGAACCTGCTGGAAGCTCTGCCCGTGCTGCCCAATGGCATTGAGATCCTGGACGTCCGCCAAAATCGGCTCCGGAGCTCGGGAATACAGCCTGTGGCCTTCAGGGTGAGTTGAGGCCTTAGGTCCACTATCTATCACCTCCACCACCCACCTTCACCCACCGCCACCCACCTCCACCCACCAACACCCACCTCCACCTCTACCACCCACCACCACCCACCACCACCCACCTCCACCCACCTCCATCCCCACCACCCACCACCACCACCACCACCCACCTCCACCTCCACCACCCACCTCCATCTCCACCACCCACCAATACCCACCACCACCCACCTCCACCTCTACCACCCACCTCCACCACCACCACCCACCTCCACCTCCACCACCCACCTCCACCTCCACCACCCACCTCCACCTCTACCTCCCACCTCCACCACCACCACCCACCTCCACCTCCACCACCACCCACCTCCATCCCCACCACCACCCACCTCTACCACCCACCTTCACCCCTACCACCTCCACCACCCACCTCCACCCACACCACCACCACCACCCACCTTCACCACCCACCTCCACCACCCACCTGCACTCGCACTACACACTTCCACCACCACCACCCACTGTTTTCATCCTTTTAAATTTGCTATTTATTGATTCTTTCAGTTGCAAGAAACTGATTCTGACCCAAGAAAAGGAGATCCCAAGAACCTCCATAAATGGAAACAGCACTATTAGGCCTAATGGGCCTGTTACTGGCTGAGTATCCCTAACCTGAAATCCAGAATCCAAAATGCTCCAATAAGCATTTCCTTTGAGCATCTAGTTGACATTCAAAAAGTTTTGGGTTTTGGAGCATTTTGGATTTTGGATATTCGGATTTGGGATCTCAACCTGTACTGGGAATGGGGGTTCAGAAGTCAAGGTGGACAACTCTCTCTCTCTCTCTTTGGGGCACAAGGCCTCTTGTCTTGGCTTCTTTCTGTGCATCTGCTCAATTCACCTGTCTGCTCACCAGCGTCCTCTGCACACTCGCAGGTTCTGCTCCCTGAAAACTTACACATGAGTTTAACTTGGAAAAGTGCTGATTCTGGCCCTGACTCTACATATCCTTTTATTTCCAAAACCCGCCACTAAGTGACTGATTAATCATTGTCTTTCTATGATCAAATGCTCAAGAGAGACTTTTTTGTTGTTGTTTTGAGACAGATCTCGCTCTGTCGCCCAGGCTGGAGTGCAGTGGCATGATCTCGGCTCACTGCAACCTCTGTCTCCCATGTTCAAGCAATTCTCCAGCCTCAGCCTCCTGAGTAGCTGGGATTACAGGAGGCACCACCATGCCCAGCTAGTTTTTGTATTTTTAGTAGAGATGGGGTTTCACCATGTTGGCCAGGCTGGTCTCAAACTCCTGACCTCAGGTGATCTGCCCACCTTGGCCTCCCGAAGTGCAGGGATTGCAGGTGTGAGCCACTGCACCTGTCCAAGAAAGACTATTTGATTGGTCATTGGTTGGCCAGTTTTGATGGGAAGGGCTAAGTTATATGACACAAATATGCCCCCTGGGGCGGCCCTTTCAATAGGGCTAGGAAGAGCCCCAGGTATGTTCGCCCGTGTGCTCTCTCTCTCTGTCTGTCTGTCTCTCAAGTAGTAGAATCTTTTATGCAATCGAATTCCTATTTAGAAGCATCAAATAAACCAAATTAGACTTGTATTTTTGAAATAGGATGAGGGCACAGAGGCACACCTGCTTGCTCTCTCGCCCCGCCCTCCCCAGTGCCTTCCACCCTCTCAGCCTTTTCCTGTCTACAGTGGTCTTTGAGGGAGTTTTACAGAACACAGTGTCACTACCACTGTTGTGGTGGAAGAGCACTAGACTGGGGATCAGAAGTCTGCCACGTGACCTCGGGCCTCAGTCTTTCGGTCTCTGAGAACAGGATTGCATGATCCCTGAAGTTCCCCACTGCTCAGCCTCAGCAACATCCCAGCTGTCTCCATATCAGGGGGTGCCGCTTTGCCTTGACTCAGAGCTGTTTTCTCAGCCCAGGATAAGGCCTGGGCTTGGGAGCCACAGAGACCTAGGTTTGTGTAAGAGTCACCCAACCTCTCTGACCTTGTTTTCTCATCTGCAAAATGAGGGTAATAATACCTGCTTGACACAGCTGCTGGAGGGTTAAATAAGATAGCATTTACAAAGAGAACAGGAGGGTTAGATATGCATAGCAGATGCTCCATAAATGGTAGCTATCATTTTTCTTTGCTCCCTGAGCCCTGCTGAAGGCTTGTCTCTTCCCAAACCCTTCTCTGATTAACACTGTCTGATTCCGAGAGCGCAGTCCCATGCACACGCTGTGTGCCTCTCTGTGCCTGCGGTTGTCATTCTAATAGTCTGGCTGTCTCCCGAGTGTCTGCTCTGTACCTGCTCCTCATCCAGAGCAAGGACGATAAACAGAGCATGGAGGATGGAAGTTAGATACCAGGGAACAGGTCATGCCAGTGAAAGGTATGAGACTTACGCAGCTGTGGGGTCTCCTTTATTGGAGGTTTTATTGGAGACACTGATTGGGAGGTCTTGTCTAGATAATTGTCCATGGCCCCAGGGTTAGCATTTGGAGACTTGTCATTGGGGAAAGTCCCTTCTGATAGCAGAGAAGTTGAGGCAGAGCTGAAATGTCCCCTGGTCCTCCCTTCTACCCTGTCCCTGCCCCTCCCCTGCACCACCCAGTGTCATTACCAGCTGATTAGTTCTTTCCTACTTCAGTGGCTGGCACCTCAATGGTAGCAGCTTTCCTCCTGCATCCAGTTGGAGTTAGTGTCTGTAAGCTCCTTAAAGACCAGGGCAACCCCTGTGGCACCCAGCACAGAGCCTGGCGCATGACTGATGCTAAGTGAGCCCCGAGTGAACAAATGTCTCTGGCCTCATAGCCATCCTCACTGCCAGGGTCCAACATGTTGGACCCACCAGCCTTCTACACTCTGTTTTCTCCCAGGCAATGGAGAAGCTACAGTTCCTTTACCTGTCAGACAACCTGCTGGATTCCATCCCAGGGCCTTTGCCCCTGAGCCTGCGCTCTGTACACCTGCAGGTAAGGAGCCTCACCCAGAGCAAGGGTGATAAACAGCATGGAGGATGGAAGTTAGATACCATGAGCAGGTCATGGCAGTGAGAGGCATGAGGCTTAGGCAGATGTGGGGTATCCTTGATTGGAGGGTTTATTGGAGACAAGAATTGGGAGGTCTTGTCTAAATAGTTTTCCATGACCCCAGTTTGATTTTCTCCATTTTTTTCTGTTTAAAACACTTTCTCTCTCTCCACCACTTTATTTCATCTTACCCAACTGCTTTTCCTTCTCTCTTTTTCCTACCCTCTGTCTCTTTCCTTCCCTTCAGTCCTTCCCTCCTTCCTCTCTGCCTTTCTCTTCCTCTTCTTCTGTGCCCTCTCTCTCCATCCATCCCCCCTGGGGCTCCTCTTCTCACCCTTGTTGTGTGGCTTTGGCCCTAGATGCTTCAGTTTCTCCAGTTGCACCAGAGCAGGCAGAGCTGGTAGGGACAGCAGATGTGAGCCTTTGGTGCTGCTTAAGGGGCAGACCGTCTTGGTGGGGCTCAGCTGGTGTGTGTTCTTCCCAGAATAACCTGATAGAGACCATGCAGAGAGACGTCTTCTGTGATCCCGAGGAGCACAAATACACCCGCAGGCAGCTGGAAGACATCCGCCTGGACGGCAACCCCATCAACCTCAGCCTCTTCCCCAGCGCCTACTTCTGCCTGCCTCGGCTCCCCATCGGCCGCTTCATCTAGCTCAGAGCCCTTCCACTCCTCCCAGGTAAGAGGCCTCCAAGGACCATGCAGGCATGAGCCTCCAGCCATAAAGCCCAATATCTTTCAACAGTGATCTTTAGCCCAGGCATTAATTGACCTCTCAATCCCTTGCAAAAATCACACACACGTACACGCATGCATGCACACACACACTCATGTACTGAAATGTCTTTCAGCAGCCAAATTTGCATTTCTTCATCTTCTTTCCTTGACACTTATGGCTCCTGGCTCAGAAAATAGCAATGTCTGCAGTGGAGCTCTTTTCCATATTCCCCATCTCTCGTACCCACACAGAATGCCAAGAAAGCCGTGGGAGAGGAAGAGGGGGAGGAGGAAGAGAAGGAAGAAGGGGGGAAGAGGAGAAGCAGTGATATGCTGGAGCCAGCTCTTACTACTTGCCGGAACTGATTATTAAATTTTCCAGAATATTGCAAGTCAGTTGTTAAACACAGCCATTGTGAAAAATTAAATTATATAAACTCACAATTAAATATATTATATTGAAAACAAACGTAATAATTATTCAAAAATCATCATTTTTCAATTAGTTCACTATATTTCACTAGTAACCATGCCCTTGAAGTTATTTCTGTCCGTGGTGTCTGTATGGGGGAACCTCTAGGTAATGGTGTGCTCCTCGGATCTCTTCCAGCTCCCCATTCAGTGACATCACATTGGTGGTTTAAAATTGGCCATGGTAGGGGTATTTACACTACAGAACTTGGTAAACGCTACCAATTGGGATTTCCTTTTCTGAGAGCTGACTATAAAATGTTTGCCTGCATACCACTGAGGAGAAAGAATAGCTACTTAAACCAGCTCCCTCTACCCGCATGCCATCCTACTGGGGTAGATAGGGTTTCTATAGGGCATTCCTTCATTTCCTGCTCTTCTGAGGCCAGGGCCTCCTGTTAGATTTGGAGGGAGCCATTCATAAGGATGGAGAACTGAGATGAATCTTCACCCAGATGCGCTTCTTGTAGCACTTACCTACTCCCTGGCTCACCGGCCAGTCTCTGAGCATGGAGGGCTCAGCCAGCTCGTTCCTGGCCACTGGGGTTTCCGTCCTTCCCATTTGCTCCTGCATGTTCGACCACCAGAGGGCAGCCTTGTGCAAAGATAGATACATAAAAATAGCAATTACTCACCTTCTGCCTTTTGGATCCTGGGCAGGGGCTGCTATGCTGGGAGGATGGGAAGAAGGGCAACTATCATGTAGCCAATGATTTGTTCCTTGAGTTAGAAGGGAGAGGAGATGCTACCCTTCTCCTCACCCTTATAAGGAGGTTTTGGGCAAGGGGAATGTGATGGATGGGTGCTTGGCCTCACGCCTCATGTCAAGGCATGAGAGAGGGATAAGGCAGGGAATTCACCTACTCATGCAGGAGGATCTTATGGAGCACCCACTGCTACGTGGTAATAAGATGGTGCACAACAGAAACATATTCCTTTTCCTCACAGAGCTTAGAATGTAGTGCAAAAGACAGGTGTGAAACAAGCACACTAATAACCATGCTATTCAACTCGTAAAAGTGCTATAAAGGGTATGTACAGAATGCTACAAATGCTTACAAGAGGAAGACCCAGCTTAGGGGTCCAGAAGATCTTGCAGAACTGACGTTTAAGCTGAAACCCAAAGGAGTGGGAGTTAGCCAGGCAATGAGTTGCCAAGGCAACTATTCAAGGTCCCTGGTGGTCCCCGAGTCAGGAGGGGCAGGTGTTTCTTGTGGGCTACATGGAAAGGAATTCACATATCTGCCTCCCCCACCTCTCTCTGGCACCTCACTGTGCACTTGGATCCTCACGGCGGTCCTGTAAGCAGCCAAGTCAGAAATTATTATTCACATTCTTTAGATGGAGACATGGAGAACTAGAGACCAGTCACTGACCCCAGCTCACACGGGTGACTCCGGGTTGCACCAAGACTCAACACACAGGCTACAGACTGGCAATGGGAAGTCTTGAAGGTGGTGGGAGGTGCCTTCATGCCATCGTGGTACCTGCCTTCACTCCTAGGGAATCTAGGATTCCAGCACACCTAGCCCCAGGGGAGGACGGGGAAGGCAGTGAGCCGAGGGCCCCTTGCCTTTCAGAGCAGCAGAGCTGTCACTGGCCCTTCCTCTCCTTTGTCTCCTCTTTCTGTCTTCCAAGAGTATGTTACAGCGAAATCTCTCTGTGTGTGTGTGTGTTTGTGTGAGTGTTTTCTGTTTCTCTCTCTCCCTTTCTCTGTTTCATCCACCAATCCTATCCCCTTCCATATCCAATATCCCATTCCATATCCTGCTTTATTGGATTATGGCAAGGCCTAGGCATGCAACAGCTGAAAGCCTAAAGTTCTCCAAATGTAAGAGACCCTGGATTTAGGAATCCAATTTTCTTTTTTTCTTTCTTTCTTTTCTTTTTTTTTTTTTTTTTTTTTTTTTTTTTTTTTTTTTTGAGATTTCACTCTTGTTGCCCAGGCTGGAGTGCAATGACGTGATCTCGCCTCACCGCAACCTCCTCCTCCTGGGTTCAAGCAATTCTCCTGCCTCAGCCTCCTGAGTAGCTGGGATTACAGGCATGCACCACCACGCCTGGCTAATTTTGTATTTTAAGTAGAGACAGGGTTTCTCCATGTTGGTCAGGCTGGTCTCGAACTCCTGACCTCAGGTGATCTGCCTGGCTCGGCCTCTCAAAGTGCTGGAATTACAGGCATGAGCCACCACTCCTGACCGAGGAATCCAATTTTTTTAAAACTCCAAAAAAAAAAAAGGTTTTCTAGAACTGGGGCTTTTGGGTACTGGAAGCCACATCATTCCTACATGCCTCTCAGTTACTCTTTGCTGAGTACAGAAAGGCACCTGGCTCCTGCTCTATTGTGGGACAGGGGATCTAACAATCCCTGGACTCCTGGAGTTTGCCAGACCTATAATAGAAGCTTTTCTGTACATCAACTCATTTAATTCCAGCAACAACCCTAGTGAATAGGGATGCTCATCTCGACTGCACATGAAGAAACAGGCTTCTGAAAGGGGAGTGGCCCAAACCTAAACAGCGAGAGAGTGGCAGAGCTAGGATTCAATCCTGGGTCCATCCAGCCAGAGTCTGAAGTCCTGCTCTCTGCCACACTCCAGTGCAGACACCACTTTCAAGTTCCAATTAAAGGAGGCCGGCTCCAGACAGTTTCTTTCCCGAGGCCATTGTTGCTACTCCGGGAGGGGTTCCCCAAGGGCCATTGCCTCTGCAGCTGTCTCTTGGCTAATCCCCCATTTTTGGCTAGGGAAGCCCAAGGAAGAGAAAGAATGTCCTTGTTGGCTGTCTCCCTGAAGAAATTCTAAACAGAGCATCTGTCCCTCTGCACCAGGGAGGGAGGGAGGAAGAGAGAGGTGGGGAGAGACAGAGAGAGAGAAATCCCACAGCTGTTGCTTCTTGATCTTGATGTGAACAGCTAGGGCTCCTGTTTCTCGGGGACCTAAAGGGGTTAGGGTTGGGCAACTGGTAGGGAAGGCAGAGAGCACCTCTTTAGCCAGAGTGAGGCCCTCCTATCCTGCAGATGGTAAAGATGGAGAGAATGACACAGGGTAGATGCAAGCCAGACCTGAGAGAGTACAAAGGAAGGGAGAGAGAGGAGGGGCTGTGGGGTCCAGCCAGGCATGGCAGGCAGCTTGAGGGCCTCATGCCAGCCGGCAGTCTAGGTTTGCATCAAATCCACCTCCTCCAACACCAAACTTTCCTAACCTCACTCATCCAGGTCCTTCGTGGCCCAGCAGCACTCATATTTGACCTTGGCAGGAGCACTTGCTCTGGGAGGCACTCTGGTGACTATTCTGCCAGCTCTGTGTGAAGGGGAGTGCCTCCCTCCTTTGGGGCACCCTGTGGCCTTCAGGAGGGTCCTGCCTTAACCCGTCTTATGAGTCTCAGTGGGAGAAAGTCGTGGGGAAGAGGCCAGGGCCCCTCCTCTCTGCGAGAGAAAGGATGAGTTTGCAATGACCTCCCCCCGCCCCCCCGCCCCGTGACTGCCTTATTCTCAGTTCCAGGGTCCTGTTTTCCTGAAGGTTACCAGCAAGGCCCAGGGCCAGAGCAGGCTCGTGGAGAAGGGAGGGTGGGAGGGGCTGCTGGAGGGGCTGGAACTAAGTCTGTTTTAGGAGCCAAGGCCGTTTCCCCACCCTGACCTTGCCTGGGCTCCCTTCCTGCTTCCTTTTCCCTTTTTTCTCTTCCCTGGGAATAGTAATCTTTTACATTTCTGCTGTCAGTTTGCACTTCAGCAAGCTCTTTACATATGGGACCTAATTTGATAGTCCTAACAACTCTGTGAGGAAAGAATTATTATCCCTCCTTTTACTGATAGAAAATGAGAGGCTAAGTACTTTGTCCCAGAGAAAGATGACTTAACATAAACAATCTATAACAGAAAAGAAAGATGGGCAAGGGGGTGGAGCTGCAGTGACAGCCAGCACTTCTTGGGAATTCTTGTCAGAGAAATGGGAAGTCCCATCTCCAGCTCCTGGAGCAGAGGATGGGTGCCCCCCACCATGACCTCCGAAATGCTTTGAAAAGCAAGGACTCGGAAGTGCATCACCCAGGCTAGAAAAATGGGGGCTGCCTATGGAACTTGAGTCCAGGGCCTGCTCCCAGCAGGATCAAGGCCTGTGTCCTTAGGAAGCACATGAGGTAATGAAGGTCTCAGCCCGGGAGAACCTTGGGGCTCAAGGACACATGGCCCCCCATCTCTGCCGCACCCCCACATGCCCGTGTCTGTGTCCTCCTTCCTTCTGGCCAGGACAGAGGCAGACAGACCAGATGGGGAGGTGGCCTCAGCTCGCCCCGCCCCCTCCCTGTCTAGCTCCCTCTCAGCTTTCTCCTCCCACCTCACCTGCCCCTCCCCTCTCCCCCACAGGAGACATCAGCTCAATTTTGTCTCTCCTCTCTCTCAAGGTCATCTCTTGGACCAGCGGGCATCACATTCTCCAGCAGCCGCCATTTCGCACGCCTCCCTCCTGTGGCCGCTGGCAGTGTGGACAAAAGTCTCCATGTAGAGGGAGGATGCCTGCTTCTTTCCCCACAGCTCTTATGTCTCCCTTCTCCCTGCGGGTGACAAAGAAGCCCAAGGACCACCTCCTTCCTGCCTCATTGTAATAAAATTCCCCATACTGAGGCCTTCTTGTCTTCAACCTGGCCTGTCCAGCCCTTCCAGACACGTCCAAATGCATGGCCTGGATGTACTTGTGTACTTCCTTTCAAACGAGCCCACACAGAACACCTGCTCTCCCCTTCCTCCTCTCTGCACTCCTTCTGCCTCCTTTTTTTCTGTTCTCCTTCTGTGCCCAGGCACCAGAGCAAATAGCTTTTTGTTTCCTCTTGGCACTACCAGTCCCAGCCCTGCCTCCAGGAGTTCTTTTCTCCCTCTCTCTCTTTTTAAAAGACGGGGTCTCACTAGGTTGCCTAGGCTGGTCTTGAACTCTTGGGCTCAAACGTCCACCTGCCTCAGCCTCCTGAGTAGCTAGGATTACAGATGTGCGCCAGTGTGCTGACTCCAGAATTCTTTTCTCCTGTGTCTAACACGCAGTTCAGACACAGGAGGGAGTGGAAGTGTTTCTTGTTATGGCACCTGTAAAGGAACTGTGATGCAAGGGAGTGAGCACTGGAGTGAGAGTCTGAAGACCTGAGTTTGACTACCCCACATCCTGATCACACCAGCACTTCACTCTGTCCTGGCCCTGTGGAGTTCCCTCACTCCAAATCTGTTGCTCAAAGCATATCCAAGCCCAAGGGGTGTGGTGCCTATCCCTATCTTATTACATTTCTAGTCTAAGAACAAAGACACAACCCTCTTCTACTGTTCCCAACAGCACAGACTAACATTGACAAAGAGGGATTAAATGGTAAAGGAGAAAACGAAGGAAGTACAGGAAATACACACAATCAGTCTAGTCTCACAAGTTGAGCTTTCTGAGCCCAAATCAACTATACCGTGGCTTTAAAGCTGGCTTAGCTGCAGGCCTTCCTGATCATTCTCTGGTCCACGCAGAAGAGAGAATAATCCAAGCTTTTCAAGTCCTTTCTGGCCCATCCTGAAACCAAAGGTAACGACCTTTGAATTACACATTGTCCATAATCAGTGCCCCCCAAGGATCACTGGGCAGTCTTAGGAGAGGTGCTTCTCCCAAAGAGAGGCCCCCTGCCTCCCAGGACAGACTCCTGGAGCCCAGCACCTGTGAGAGCTGTAGCACCTCGCTTGGAGATCTAAGAAATCCCTGAAGGAAGCTGGGCACGGTGGCTCACATCTGTAATCCCAGCACTTTGGGAGGCTGAGCAGGCAGATCACAAGGTCAGGAGATGGAGACCAGCCTGACCAACATGGTGAAACGTGGTCTCTACTAAAAATACAAAAATTAGCCGGGTGTGGTGGCATGCGCCTGTAATCCCAGCTACTCGGGTGCCTGAGGCAGGAGAATTGCTTGAACCTGGAAGGTGGAGGTTGCAGTGAGCCAAAATCATGCCATTGCACTCCGGCCTTGGCAACAGAGCAAGACTGTGTCCCAAAAAAAAAAAGAAGAAGAAAAAGAAAAGACATCCCTGAAGGAGCCATACTCTGGGAGACAGGCAAGAAGGCAGGTTTTAACCCTGTGGACATACAGTGGAAGATGAGCTTCTGCCCTTGGGGGAGTGTTGGGGGTGGGAGTGGGAGCATGAGAAATGGGGTGGGCAGAGAAGAGCGGGACCTCCCACAGTGCATGAGGTCCTTGGCTCTAAATAATCTTGAAACACACTAGCCCAGAAAGATGCAAACAGCCCCCATGCTGGGAATGTTCTGCAAAGTAGGAAGGTGTTAAGCAGTTACCCAGATGTTTCAAGCCAAAGCATCCTGCAGAGGAGGGGGAAAAAAAGTCGTCTTTTGGGACTGAAGTTTTCCAAATCAGCTGTGAGCTTGGGCTGTAATCACCTTGCCAACGCAGACGCTACCCCTTTGAAGAAGTCAGTCCGAAAACAGGATCCTTCTTAAAGTCAGCAGATCAGTGCATTATCCCTGCAGAGATGATAGGAAATAGAGAACGACAGGAAGCTGTCAGAAAGTCAATATTTCAAAGGATCAAAGAGTCCTCAGGGTCCTTTGGTCCATGCACCTGTATCCAGGCAGGGCTTTACCTAGTGCTGATGGTGATGTTCTCTGGTTTACGCCAGGGCCAGAGGTGCGGGCTGCAGAAAGCACCTGCCACCATCTGTAGGACATCACGTTAGCCCTGTGCATTACATGCATCATTACGTTTCATCTCCATCGTAGCCTGATGAGGTGGGTGCTTCCCCAATTTTACAGAAGGCAGACTTTGGGAAGCTGAGGCAGTCAGATCTCCTGAGGTCAGGAGTTCGAGACCAGTCTGGCCAACATGGTGAAACCCTGTCTCTACTAAAAATACAAAAATTAGGCAGGTGTAGTGGCAGTCGCCTGTAAATCCAGCTACTCAGGAGGCTGAGGCAGGAGAATTGCTTGAACCCTGAAGGCGGAGCTTGCAGTGAGCCGAGATCACGCCACTGCACTCCAGCTTGGGCGACAGAGTGAGACTCCGTCTCAAAAAAAAAAAAAAAAAAAAAAAGGAAGGCAGAGAAGTTAAGTTTTGGTCCAAGGTCACACAGTGAGGAGTAAGAGGCAGACTAGATATTCAAATTTGGCCTGAGTGCAAAGCCTGCTGGCCCTCTGGCCTTGGAGCTGCGTGTCCGACACACCTGCTGAATCATGTCTTGCCTCACACTTCCTTGCTCATAGAACATACCCAATAAACCTTGTGCTAGGCCAGCTCGCTCCACGGCGCGGTGGGGAGGCAGACCTGCTACAGAAATCTGACCATGTAAATGGCTCCTTTTCTACCCCTCCTCTCCTGATGTTCCTAAGTGGTGGCCCCTGCACACCTGGCTTTCTCCTCTCAGCTTCACCAGTCTGGATCTCCCTTCCCACACCCCCTCCCTTCCTATCTATTGTCTCTGAACCCAACTTCTTGGCTCCTGTGCTCCTATTCATGGGATTTCTTTCCGCTTCTGTAACCCTGAGTACAATAGGCTCCTTCCTGCTTATTGGTAAACAGAGTCACAACAAGCCCAAGTGTGTTCTAGGCCAGGTTTGAGCTCTTGATCGAGCCTCTCTCTCGGCCTTCTTGTTCCAGTTTTTTTTTTCTAATGGGAACATGAACTCCTAGAGAGGTGGCCTGGCACACCCCTGCCTCTCTGCTGCTCCTCTCCATTCCAGAGCATTACAGTTTGAGGGGTAAGTGGGTACAGCACGAAACTTACTGCCTCATTCCTTCCATGATGTCCAGGAACTGCCCACTTACCTCCTGCCTGGAATACCGGGAGAGAAGCGGGAAAGGGAAAGTGTTTGTTTGTTTGCTGTCATCACTAAGCAAGTTCCCATCACCCCACTCCCCAGGGGTGGGTGGTGTTGTCCAAGTAACTTCTATGACAGCCTGCAAAGAAGCAGAAGCAGACAAGGTGGGGACATCAACACCCCAGAAGCAATAGCACACACCCCACCTGGAACACAGCATCCCAGGGGCTGAAGGGGATGTCCTAACTCTTAACCAAGGAGGTCCCCTGTCTCCCATGAATCCTGAGTCTCAGTTTCCTGAGCAGGGTAGAGAAGGAGCCCTTGAGTGTGTAAGGCCCATCGACAAAGAGATTTACTCAGATCCAGGCCCTGCCTCAATCTTACCCACCTTTAGTGTCCTTCGTTCATTTTTTTTAATGATTCTTTATTAAGTGCTAAGCACCAGGGTCAGCATAGTAATAAAGACAGACAAGGTCCCTGGTCTCAGGGAGACAGAATAAACAAATAATAGCAGATAAATGATACAATTCAGACAGGGACAGGTGCTAAATGGCAACAAAAGGAAGTGAACGTGGCAGTGACTGGTAGTGGAGGCCAGTGACATGAGGTAGGGCAGCCAAGGAAGGCCTCCTGGGGGTGGTGATGGTTGACCTGAGACCTCCCTGATGAGAAGGCAGCGGGGAATGTTTTCCAGGCAATGGGAACAGAAGGCGAAAAGCACAAAGGAGAGAGGAGGCCCATGTGGGCAGCAGAGCGGGCTTGGGGTGCGGTCAGAGGCAGCAGGGCCCTGGGTAGGAAAGCCTCCGAGGATTCTCTTGTGAGTGCACGGGATCCTTCTCTGAGAAACACACACCGCTCGCCGCCTTCTCTCCCTGTTAGTCATGCTGAAAACACGAGGCAGGAGGGAAAGGCAGCATGATTCACAGACTGGAGGGTGACAGTGACCAGAGCAAGTTTAACCTTTTAAAGAGGAAGGATCTGTTGCTTGGCTACCAGGCCTGCGTAGGGTAATGAGTGGAAATGGGGAACAGAAGTGGAGAAAGAAGAGAGACCTAGAAGTGGGGTGGTGGGGAAAGGGCAGGAACCCCTCGTGGGCTGGAGCCTGCAGAGGGAGGGAGAATGTGAGCAGCTTCCAGAAGGTGTGGGGCTTTGAGGAAAGGGGACGGAGAACATCTGAAGGAAGCTTGGGTGTAATCCGGCCACTGTCTCCAGAAGACTCAGGTAGGTGTGCTTCACTGTGTCTTAAAGCTTTTAGAGTTAGATATTGGGTTCTTTAGGGTGTGTCTCCAGCTTGAAGTGTGCCTCACAGTAGAAACAGGAAGGCCTTATTTGATTTGGGTTACAGGAGAAGCAGAGGCCCCTGTTTGGGGTGCACTGTGGAGACTGGAATTTGGGTAGAAGGGGCGACTGCTCCCGCTTGGACGCTAACCAGCTGCGTGGCCTCAGGCATATCTGCTTTGCTCTATTCCCTCCTCTGGCCAAGAGAAGAGAAGGTTCAGTGATCTCCAAGGTGCAGTCTGCAGCTCTGTGATCTCACATGTTCTTTTGTTTTCTTAACAGGAAGGCTACTCAGAGAAGGGTCCCCCCAAGGGATGAGGGACGGTTTGCCTAACCCTGTGGCAGACGGCTCTGCTTCTCTTCATGGTAAGGGAGGGAAGTTACAGGGGTATGCCTCCTGGCTCCCCAGCATCCACACACTGCTAAGACCCAGCCACCCCAAAGACACCATCCCTCCCTCGGGGACGGGGACTCCCAGAAGCCTCCCTAAGGTTCCATCTTTAGGTGCCAGGAATGGGGCTCGGTTCCCCCCCAGTCTCCAGAAAGGTAGGGAAAGAAGCCAAGTGACCCTGTAAACACCTCCCCAAGGAAGGAGGCTGTGACCTCGGCAGATGAAGCAGCCCCCTGGAAAGAGAAGAGCCCCTTGCTGTTCTGGAGAGGCCCCAGTGACCGTGGCCCTGAGAACCAAGAGCTCGGCAGCGCTGTCCCTCCTCCTGCTGTGGCTCAGGGCAGAGCCAAGCCCAAGACCCTGCCCCGCCCTCTCTTTCCCTCTAGCTCAGCGGCAGGAGCCTATGGATAGCTTCTGAAACACACCGCCTGCTTTCTCATGCAGGATAAAGGCCTCCCTCCAGAACCTGCCCAGCTTTTCCACCGCATTAGTAATCAGCGCACAGAACAAGCGCTTTCTCTCCCTCTCCTCCCCCGCCTCTGTCTCTCTTTTTTTCTCTCCCCCAGCCCCCACTTCCTTTACCTACTCCTGCCTCCTCCCCACCTATCAGAGTCACTGCCACCTCCCGGGAAGCTGAGAGGGTTTATCATCAAATCAGGCTTTGTCATAAGGAAAACAGATTTATTTTCCTCGCTTTGAGAAGGTGCTGACAGGAGCAGCGAGGGAAGGGGTGTTTTCTATATTCAAAGCCTTTCTCCTCCTGCGGCTAAATCTGGCACTATTTTCTCATTTACCTCAAATGCTGCTCCTCTGACCTGCCTCTCCATTCGTCCACGCTTTCAACCCCTACCTGTGAGCCTTTGCCCACCGGACCTGCTCACTCCTAGTCATTCCTTCATTCAATATATTTCCCTCGTTCAGGATACAGAGGCCTTTCTCACATGCCAGGGACTCCAGGTGCTGGAGATGTGAGGCACACAGCAACGCGGGGAGGTGGGAGCAAGTTGCACAGGTACAGGAATAGAACATTAAAATACAAAGCAGTGGCCTGGAGCGGTGGCTCACGCCTGTAATCCCAGCACGTTGGGAGGCCAAGACAGGTGGATTGCCTAAGGTCAGGAGTTTGAGACCAGCCTGGCCAACATGGTGAAACCCCATCTCCTCTACTAAAAACACAGAAATTAGCTGGGCGTGGTGTCAAGCACCTGTAATCCCAGCTACTCAGAAGGCTGAGGTGGAGGAATCGCTTGCACCTGGGAGGCAGAGGTTGCAGTGAGCCGAGAACACACCACTGCACTCCAGCCTGGGCAACAGAGTGAGACTCTGTCTCAAAAAAATAAAATGACATAAAGTAATATAAAATAAATAAAGCAGTAAGTGGAGACAGAGGCATGTACATGGCCAATGGCAGCACCAGTGTGGAGCAGCCTGTTCATGAGGAGGCAGAGACCAGAGCAGGCTCCTGAAGGCAGGGACGCTGGACCAGGACACCTAGAACTGGTGGAAGCCCCTGGGCATAGGGTGGGGAAGGAAGGCACTCGGGGCCCTCAGCAAAGGGAGCACTGTGCAGGCAGCAGTTGGCACATGTGGCATGAGCAGAGGTGGGGGGGGAGAGGGCAGGAGAGGTGGCTTCAGGGGACAGAGCATGAAAGGAGTTCCTGCTGGGGTTTCATGGAGGGGTGGTTGGTCAGAAGGTTCAGGTGCAGATTTGGGAAGTTCTGTGAAAGGTGGCTGTGATTGATGGGGACAAACCTGGAGTCTGAGGAATTGGTGAGGAGGCTGATGCATGTAGATTAGAGAAAGATGTGAGTACTGTGTGAGAACAGAGGTAGCAGAGTTGGACGGGAGAAGGGTTCAGAGGTGTCCAAGGAGCCATTCACGGTAAGAGCCTCAAATCATTCCACAGAGGTGGAACTCTTCAGCAGAGGGGACAGCTGAATCCAGGGGAGGGCATGAGGGGGTTATCCGAGCACGTGGGCATGTGGCAGGGGAGAAAGGTGGAGGTGGGGCCGGGCAGAGGGAACACTGCTTGGGAGAGCACCTGCCAGGGACAGGCCCGGGGATACAGGCAGAAGAGAAACCAGAGGGGTGGAGCAGCAGAAGGAAAGGCCAGTGACCCCAAGGGAAGGAAGGGGTGGGGGTAAAGTTGGAAAGAGTTGGGGCAGCCCTCGCTCAGAGCACAGTGAAACACTGTTTGCTGCGGGGAGGAAATTGGCCCCAGTGGCCACTTTGTGCACCGTCTGGACTCACTGCTGCCTTCACAGACTCCTGGAACAACCTTTCATTCTTCTTAAGGCTAGGTGACTGCATGACACTAAGCACCTAAGTGTGGCTGGTGGCGCAGCCCTGTAGCCAGGCACTAGCCATGGAAGACGAACAGCCCTCATGCTCAGGGGTCCCAGTTGATCAGGGAGTGTGTGCACACAATCCCCGTCCATTAAACAAAGCAACCAACAAGTAACATTGACACAGGAACGCACCTAATATGAAATGAGCGCACGCTAAAGGGATGCCAGAGAGAAGAGGCCAACAAGGAAGGAAGGCAGGGATACCCTCTCTGGCTCTGGAGCTTTGGGACTGGTGGATGCGACATCCATAATTCATAGCCCATCAATCCTGGAGGGTCTGGCGCTCTGACCCCTTTGGAAACGGCCCTCTTCTCTGACAGCTGAGCCCTTCCCCTTGGAGGCCCAGGGCAGAAAGGTTCCTCTGTGAGACATACTCTGGTGCCCTGCAGCCAGCATGATGGATGAGGAGGCCAGAGCTGCTGGGGCCAGTGGGGCTGAGCAGAGAGAGAAATATGATGCAAAGCAATTTTAAAAGGAGGTTCTCAGGGGCTGGCTGGGGGCGGGGCAGCTGGGTCCCTCTCTCAGCCATCTATCTCACTTATCTGTCTCTCTAACTAGGTCCTCAGTTCTGTGGCACAGATGACAGGTTGGGGACAGCAGAGAGCGAAAGGTGAAAGATCAAGGGTCCGTGGGATCTTCTCTCTTCTCTCTTTAGGGCTATGGACTTGGAAAGCTCCTGAGTGCAATGAGGAGTACCTCACCTAGCAGCCAAGACCTATTCCCTGCCCCAGTGCCCCAGTACCCCAGAAACAGGCCAAGCCCCAGACTCTCCTGGCATAAATACCGGCTCCCGTCCAACCTCACGCCATCAGGTATGGGAGATGCTGGGACCAGCAGCTAGCAGAGGGAAAATGACATATCCTAGGATTCAATCCAATCAGGATTCCATCCCAAGGACCAAGGTAGAATAGAACAGCAGCCGTTCTTTCGGGGAGCTGAACCCTGCAAATTAAGCTGCCTGGCAGGCTTGGCAGCCTGTAGGTGTGACGGGTGAGGCCTCAGCCCACTCTTTCCCCAGCCCTTGAATTCCATTTGTCCAGGCCTCCAGGCTATACAGCACCCCTGCCATGTGCACATAAGACAGCAGGGAAGCTGACAGGCGACCACTATCCTCCCACTCCCCATCAGCTGCTAGGTGAGTGGGGAACAAAGAAACAGAAAGTCATGGGAACCACCCTCCCTTGCTAAGCAACAAATGCGCTAAGATGCTGAGCCAGGGGAGGGGGGAGTGGGCCTGGGGGCAGCTGGTATGATTGGTCTCACCTGCCCAGCAGACAGAAAATGCCTGCATTCTTGGTTGGGTAATTGAACTGCCTCTCTTTCTGGAGGTGAGTGTGGGGCAGAGCATCTCTGAGCAGAGGCCTCCATTGCCTGTAGTTCCCTCCCTCCTAGGTATGGGTCCTGGGGAGGTTATACTTGGGGGGCAATAACTGTAGGCAATAATGCTAACAGTGACAGACACAGGGCTCGGGACAGGGAGGGAACCTTGGGCTGGGGTGGGCTGGAATGTGCCTCCGGGGCAGTGAACTGACACTGCCCCTCCTCATTTGCTTAGAGAGCCTGCCATCGGGCCAGGCAGCCTTGGAGGGCGTGCCCAGACTGACAGCTGCCTAACCACAAGCTTGCACTTGGCAGGAACTGGACTTGCCCACAGTCAGGGTGCAGTAC